GTTGGGGACATAGGCACATGATGAAAGCTACTGGATTGAACATGTTAAAGCCAATACGATAAAATCCCCACCACCAGCAGTGACCTTGCCCCCTCTGGACCTGCACAGCTGTGGGTCATGCTTTCCTCAGTCACTGCATGCGAATCACTGTGCACTGTGCGTACGTACACGCTTCCCTGGTTACCGCCCCTCCCTCAGTCAGGAAGCATGTATTATCCACAGTGCTGTACACGGCAGGTGCTCAACTGTTTCTTTCATTTGAGAGTACCAGAAAATGAGAAGTAATCCTAGACTTTGTGGTGTGAAATAGTTTGTAGCCATTCCAGTGCAAAGACTTTACTTTCCCGCTAGGTGGTAGTGAGACATCTGTTAGATGTCCCGAGGGTGGGACGTCTCAGGGTGGTGCTTCCTCCGCCGCTCTGGGCTGCTTTCTCTCTCATGTCTGTACATTTGCTTGTCCTAGTCCTGCTGCCTGAGTTGTCCTCCTTTCTCAACTTGGGAGATGCCCAGATTCCTGCACAAGTCCAAACACCTCCATATCCATGTATTCATTAGTTTGCTTCTCATGAGTGCACGTTCACACATTCACATGTTCGACAGTGTTTCTCGAACCCCTCGTGTGTGGGGAGAGCTGGGTAGTAAACATAAGTACCATGTAACTAAATACAGAAGTGCCGACTGTGGCAGTGCCATGGAGGGAAAGGAAATGGTACCCTGAGGGGCAGCTATGGAGGTGGAGAATGGGGGGTATCTTAGCAAGTCATGGTACCCACTGCACCCCCCCCCCCATGAACTCCTTCTGTAGGCTGATTCCTGCACGGCAGAGTGTGGGTGCTGGCCAGGAGTACTGCACGGGGCGCTTGTCTGCGTGAGAAAGCCATAAAACTCAACTGGCTGCTTCTCCTAACTCTTTCATTCTCAGCTCCTTCTTTTTAAAAATAATTTTTCTTTATTGATTTTAGAGAGAGGAGGAGATAGAAACATCGATGAGAGAGAGAAACATCAATTGGCCACCATCCACATGCCCCCCCCCCCCCCCCCCCCCCCGCCGACTAGGGATCAGGTCCACAACCTGGGCGTGTGCCCCGACCAGGAATCGAACCGGCGTCCTCTTGGTGCATGGTCGACGCTCAGCCAGTGAGCCACACTGGCCGGGCTCAGCCCTTCTCTTTCATTGCCAGTCACTCCTTAGCCCCTTTAAGGTCTGCCTGCCATTCTCCTCTCTGTCTCTGCCTCTGTTTTTCATCTACTCCAACTCCCCTCACCCCTTTCTCCCCTCTCTTTCTTTCTGTATCTCTCTCTCTCTCTCTCTCCTTTCTATTACTCGGGCATGGGGAGGTTGGACTTTCTCAATGACATGGTCAATCACAGCATCCATGCCAGTCAGGTTTTAAGTTACCTTCAAAGGGGTGATCATGCTGCTCCTGCCTCTGAGGCTCTTTTTTTGGCCACAAAAATACTTACTGGGGGAAAAAAAAATTTGGCCTGCTTTCAGGGTTTGAGAGCCTTTCCAGAAGCATAGTCTCTCAGTATCTGACATTTTACTGTATTATATACCCAGATGAGGTTTTATATTAAATTAACAACACATAATCTGGATGGAGTTTCTACTGCAGCTAAGTAATCTAGATTTATGTCCCATGAGGAATATTATATGGGCTTCTTTGCAAATTCATTATTGCTCTGGACTGATTCCCTAATTAAGTGCCTGCCGGCCTTTCTCTCATCTGCTCAAGCGTCCTTCTCCCCAGGAAAGGGCTCTTGCTGGCTGACTTCTTAAGTAAAGCACAGTGTCATTCTGCAGCTGCCTCTTCCCACAGGGGACTCGGCCCCGGAGTCTCCTTGTTTTATTTTTCTCTCTCCGCTGAAATGAAAGAACTTTGCACTTTCTCCTTAGACCAGCAGGTTTCGGCGCGTTTCAGTTTATTTTTAACTGACAATTGGTGAAGGTTAAGCACTTGGAATCTGAAGTACAAACCCTGAGCACCCAGGACGCAGGGTTTACTGTGCTGCTTTCCTTTGCAGAACGCCCTTCGTCCCTGCACCTCCAGAGCTTTGTGTTAGTCACTCACGTGTTACTTACTGTATGCCTGGGTTGTACGTACACATAGGGTTGTCACATTTAGAGTTTGAGAGGGTCTTATCGCTCATTAACTCCAACAACCAGGTTCTTTTTTAAAATTTAATTTATTGATTTTTTAGAGAGAGAGGAAGGGAGAGACAGAGATAGAAACATCGATGAGAGGGAACATCAATTGGCCGCCCCCTGCGTGCCCCCCCGCCCTGGGGATTTGGCTCACAACCTGGGCATGTGCCCTGACCAGGAATCGAACCGGTGACCTAATGGGTCGACACTCAACCACTGAGCCACACTGGCCGGACGCTTTTTCTTTTCTTTATTATTACAAAGGTAGTATCTGCTACTACTAGGATTTACTGCCTGAGGAAGGTATGGCAATCATGTTTTAGAAATAATTTCATGTCCCAAAGTCAGCTGGTATTGAGTGCCTGGGGCTGTGTTGAGAAGAATTCCGAGGCCAGGAACAAGGCCGTGATTGATTAGCAGTGTTCGCCCTGAGTATAGAATAGGGACCTGGAGGCCAGTGCATGGCTTTGCTGTTCCTGGTCTAATTCAAAGATATATATGTTCAATTCAGGATGAAAAGAATCATTTTGTTTAAAATAGAAAAGAAGATAAAATCACTTTTAGGGAACTTCATTTTAGGCAGTAACATTCAGCGGCTGAGAAAGCCCAGTGCCTGTCAGGCCAGGCTGCCGAGTCCTGTGTGCACACGATGGTCTTGCTCGAGTTGCGTGTGCCCTGATCCCTGTGCCCTGCTCCCAGGCTGAAGGGTGATATTTGATCTTGTCTGTGGTAAACAGAGTAACGTCCCTGAATCTGTGACTATGCAGGTTACGTGGCAAAGGGGAATGAGAGTGGCAGGTGGAATTCAGTTTGCTAATCACCCAGCCTTAAGATAAAGGGAATGTCCTGGATTGCCGGGGTGGGCCCAGTGTAATCACAAGGGTCCTTAGAAGCAGCAGAAGGAATCAGAGATGGCACCATGAGGAGGACTCAGTTCAGCTAAGCTTTCTGCCCGACATGGCTGGCTTTGAAGTTGGAGGAAGAGGGCCTGGTGCCAAGGAAGGAAGGCAGCCTGTAGAAGCTGGAAAGGCCAAGGAGACAGATGTTCCCCCAGAGCTCCTGGGAAGGATGTAGTCCTGCCAAAACCTCGAGTTAGCCCAGTGAGACCCATTGCAGACTCCTGAACTGTAGAACTGTAAGATAACATATTTATGTTGTTTGAAGCCACTAAGCTTGTGGTAATTTGTTACAGCAGCAAGAAACCAATACATTATCTAGGTTACCTCAATATAATGTTAATGATAATGATTACTATTTAGTGCCTGGCACTGTTGCTAAGGATTTTATAAGCATTGTCTCAGTGGGCACATACAGTCTTCCTATGAGGTGGGTGCTCTTATTTATCCCCACTTTCAGATGGAGATGTGGAGGCTCAGTGACATCAGGTAACTTGCCCAAGGATGCAGAGCTAGTGAGAGTCAGAGCCAGGCCTTGAACCTAGGTCTCCAGGATGCCAAGGTCTGTGTCTCATTCACAACCCTTTTGGACCACGGATTCAAAAGCATTTGCATTTGAAAGAAAGGGCTTAATTTTGAAATCTATAACCATGGCATTGTATATAACAGAAAAAAAAAAAAAAAAAAGGAATCAAGCCCTAGCCAGTTTGGCTCAGCGGTTGAGCATCGGCCTGCGGACCAGAGAGTCCCCAGTTCAGTTCCCACAACTGGGCACGTACCACAAAAAAAAAAAGGAATCAGGAACAACAAAAAGTAGATAAATTGTGGTTTATTTAGACACTGGAACATTATACAATAGTTGGAAAGAATGTATCAGAGCCACTTCTGTCAAAATCATAGTAATAGCATCTCAGAAACATAATGAGAACTCAATTTTTAGGTCACACGTGTAATTAGTTATTTATAAGGAGGACACACATTGACCTTTGGCTTTCACTGTTAAGCATAAACCCATGGAAATCAAAACTGTATATAAACCATTCTGTTACCACAGCAGATTCTGCTTAAACCTGATTAACCAATGGTGCCCTATTACTCTATGACTCTGAAGTGTGTGTTTTGGGAGCAACATTTCACTCCTGTGTTAAAAGGAGAGTTTTGATATTCCCAAGACTTTGTACTCACTATGTCATAACACACAATTACTGGAGACTTACTTGCTTAAGCAAAATATGTAGTTTGAAGTTGAATAATATAGTCTGAGAAAAAATGGTTTGAATTTCATTATTATTTATTTATTTATTTTTATCCTCACCCGAGGACATTTTTCCATTTTTTGTTCAGATAGAGTGGGAGGGAGAGAGAGAGAAACATTGACATGAGAGACACATTGAGTGGTTGCCACCCACTCAACCCAACCAGGGCCGGAGACAAACTGCAACCGAGGCGTGTGCCCTTAGCGGGAACCGAACCTGGGTCTCTCTGGACCGCAGGTCAACGCTCTAACCGCTGAGCCAAACCGGCCAGGGCTGAATTTCATTATTATACACAGATATACTGTTTCCTTACTACTTTGATCTTTGGGGACCAGTTAAATACAATCTGGTGGATTTGTATGAGGAATTCTATGTTTATATCACATTTCCCAAGAATATAAAGTCACCAGATTGTATGTATACCCTTCAACTTCAAACTATATTTATACCTTTTGAGTCTTGTGGTCCAGGAAAGGGCCTGAAAGTTGTAAATGTTGTTCTCCTTTATCCCCCACACTTATTCTGTGATCTTATTGAGTGGATGGATGGACGGATGGATAAGTATAATGGATGGAAGAGTGAATTCTTGAATCTCTTGGTTCAAGATCTTTTGATTTGTTAAACCTTGTCTACCCATGTGAAAAATCTTCTTGCTTGTGTGGAAGAACAACTTATAACCTCTTAGTCTCCTTTTCCCTCTAGATGTCGAAATGCTTCAGGCCAGTTCATCTAACACAATCTCTGGGGAAGGTTTCTCTCGGACCACTAAGGACTCTATGATCCGCAAGTTTTTAGAAGGTAAGTTGTAGCTGTGAGAGGGGAAGAAAAGAAGAGAGAGAGAAACAAATGTGAGACACTGCCTGGTTCCATCTGAGGGTTGCCCCACGCAAGGAGTGGGCTCCATGTACGTGGCATATGGGTGACTGAAGGCACTCTCTCCCATGAGCTCCCCCTTCCGTCTGTTCCAGGGAGGCCGGAAATTCCCCCCACCACCGTCATTCATTTAGATAACCAAGTTGCCTTCAGCAAGACCTTTTTTTTTTTTTGATATTTTGTTCAGATAGAGTGGGAGAGAGAGAGAGAGAGACATCAATGTAAAAGGGACACATCAAATGGTTGCCACCCTCACAACCCAACCAGGGCTGGGGACAAACTGCAACCGAGGTACATGCCCTTAGCAGGAACCGAACCCGGGTCTCTCTGGACCGCAGGCCGACGCTCTAACTGCTGAGCCAAACCGGCCAGGGCAAGACCTTTTTTTTAATGCACATGTTTATTTTTATTTAACCAAAATTTATTGAGTACCCACCGTGAGCAAAGCATTCTTGTGGATGTTGGGCTGGGGGACATAAGGAAAAACAAGATGTGATTAGTGCTTCAGGAGACTTCACCCCTGGTGAGGGAGGAGAGTACAGGGGAACATACACCACTGGTGTTAAGTTGAGGCTGTATAGCAGAGTGGCTAAGAGCACAGCCTCAATTCCTCCTTCAGTTAGCAGGAAAACCTTAGACAAGCTAGTCAACTCCACTGGATCTCAGTTTCCCCAGCTGTAAAATGAGATGACTGTTGTGAGAATTAAATGAGTTATTGTACAAAAGGCCTCAGAGCAGGGCCAGATAGAACAAGTAATAAAGGTTTATTATTGTTAATATTGTTCTTATTATTGAAGATGTTAAAGGTGGTGTTATATCATAGGAGTAATTCCTTAGCTCTGTTCAATCATTTATAATTTATGGTGGGGTCTATTGATCAAATAGGTAAGAAGCGGATAGGACTCAGGATGGGAAAAGTCGTTTTGACAGTGAAGAGCAAAGGGAGTTGTAAACATCAGTGGACAAATCACAGGGAAGCCGCCCTGGCCAGTTCGGCTCAGCAGTTAGAGCATCGGCCTGTGGTCCGGAGAGACCCGGGTTCGGTTCCCACTAAGGGCACATACTTCGGTTTGGCTCAGCGGTTAGAGCGTCGGCCTGCGGTCCGGAGAGACCCGGGTTCGGTTCCCGCTAAGGGCACGTACTTCGGTTGCAGTTTGTCCCCGGCCCTGGTTGGTTGTGCGGGTGGCAGCCACTCGATGTGTCCCTTTCACATCGATGTTTCTCTCTCTCTCTCTCTCTTCCTCTCTCTCCCTCCCACTCTATCTGTACAAAAAATGGAGAAATGTCCTCGGGTGAGGATTAAAAAAAAAAAAAAAAAAAAAATAAGGGCACATACTTCGGTTGCAGTTTGTCCCCGGCCCTGGTTGGTCGTGCGGGTGGCAGCCACTCGATGTGTCCCTTTCACGTCAATGTTTCTCTCTCTCCCTTCCTGTCTCTCCCTCCCACTCTATCTGTACAAAAAATGGAAAAATATCCTCGGGTGAGGATTAAAAAAAAAAAAAAAAATCACAGGGAAGCCAAGAGCAGTCTCCCCCCCAGCTCAGAAGATGCTATTAAAAACTCCTAATAAATACTAGGTTAGAAATCCCATAGGAAGAAGACCCAAACTTGATTCATCTCTGTAGCTCCAGCAGACATTTAATAAAGATTTGTTGGCTGAGTGGTGCTAGGGAGAAGGAAGGGAGAGGAAAGCACCTACTATGCGTATACACTGAGCTGGGTACTTTCCCTTTATTATCTCATTTTGTCCTCACAGTACTCCTGCGAGTAGTCCTCAGAGGGAGATCAGGCTCAGGGAGGTTATATAACATGCTCAGGGTCACACAGCTCTCGGGTATGAGATGCAGATGGCATACAAGTCTGCTGAGATTCCTGAAGCCAAGAGGCTGTTGTATTCAGCTCCAAGCACAGAGCATGTCAGCCTGTCACTAGGAAGGAGCCAGAGCAAATTGGAGGGAAAATCCAGGGACAGAGGGTGGGGGGCAAGCTTCAGTCCTAAATCTTTTGGTCGATGGGGAGCAGAGTGGCAACAAAGGTTGCAAGAGAAGCAGTAGAACGTGCTGGTTAAGAGCGCAAGGTCTGGAACCGGCTTTCTTGGGCCCGATCTGGCCCTGAGTGACTCTGAGCAAGTTTACATCTCCAAGGCCACAGGTTCTTTGTTTGTAAAATGAGAATAATGATTGTAGTTACTCCACAATGTTGTTATACAATCAAAGGAAATAATGTGGGTAATATAGTTGGAACAGCACTGGGCACAGAGAAGTCCTCAGTTCTCAGGTGGAGTTTGCTACAGTCTTTTTGATGTTGAAGACAAGGGTGCTGGAGCTGTTGGTGGTGAGGCCTCCGGGCCACCCTCGCAGTGCTGCCCAGGCCCAGGGGTTGGTTCAAAGTGTCCTTGGGCTTTGGGGCTGTGCTCCCTTTTCCCTAGTTCTAATGTGATGAATAACAGATTCTCGGCAGTAAAATCGAGATGGTAGAGCCTAGAGCTCACTTCCTTCTGCTTCATTGTTTTCTCAGTTGCTTTGCAAGGGGTTCTCAGCCACTCTTCTCAGTCACTTTGCTATGCTTCTAGGCAACAACATGGACATGGCCAGTTTGGAGAAGGAGCCGTACCCTCTGGATCCACAAGATGTTTATCACACAGTGGAAGACGATGAGGCCTTTTCCGTGGACCTGGCCAGCAGGCCCCCTGTCCCAGTGCCCAGGCCAGAGGCCGGTGCTTCTGGCACTCACCAGCCACCCGACAATGAACCATACATTTCTAAAGGCAAGTGTGGCAGGAATGATGCCTAGTGGGGCAGTCAGAGCTTCTCAGCAGGAAGTCCCTGGATCCTCTAGCTTCTGAACCACCATCACGCAGATGGTCTGAGTGGTCTCCAGCTAGCCCAGGGGACAGGGTCAGAGCTTGGGGCAGATTCCAGAACTAGACTAGGGGCAATGATCGGATTCAGTCTGGCCTCCCTGGAGCATTCATTCACAGAGGTAATCAAGATTTCCCTCTTCTCCACATGATAAGAACCCTGCTAAATTTTTATCTCCTAAACTCTTATTATTATTATTCATTTTTAATAGCTAACATTTATTGAAATATACCAAGAGTGCTCTATCCGGAACATGTCATTTAACCTTTACAATAATCTATTAGGTAAGGACCATTACCATCCCCATTTTACAGATGAGGAAAATGGAGACTCACAGAGGTCACTTGGTTCCCATATAGCAGAGCCAGGATTTGAACTCAGGGAGACTGTCTTCACAGACTTTCAGCCAGCAGATGCTGTGACATCAGATGCTGATAGCATTGTCAGTTTCCCTGTCTTTCGGGACATGATCGTATTAATAAGATTATAAGCACAGTAAGAGTAAAAGAACTGCCAGATCTGTGCACCTGAACTTTATTCCATTTTTAATGGTATAAGCAGGTTGTGGAATGGGTGTTAAAGGGAGATCATAAATTGGGGAAGGTAGTCAACCAGAGCCCCAGGTGATTGGGCTGGGGTTGTCAGATACAGTACAGGATGCCCAGTTAAGTGTGAATTTTAGACCAACAACAAATAATTGTTATTGTAAATGTGTCCCAAGTATTGTACCCTTTTTTTTTTTTTTTTTTTTTGAGGCTTTAGTTTTGGTCTGTAATCTGGAAACCCTAAATGGGTAGAAATACAGGGAGAGAGATTCCACATTGCCAAGTATTGTCAGTGCTCCTGGTTTGCCGTCCCCTTGGGAAACACCTCCTTTGGTGTGTGTCACAGACACTATTAGTGCCCTTCCCACATCCTCTTAGTCCTTTACATTTCTGGGCACTGGCTGGATCCTGCCTGTCAGCCTGTGTCTCTAGCCTGATAGCTTCCTTTGGCAGCCAGAGCCTCCTCTGACCCCTTGCAGGACAGGCTGGAAGAGTTGGGGGGTTAACCCCCCCTGGACACAGCCCTCAACCAGTGACTGACGGGGATTGGTGGATAAGCATCCCAGCTTACTTGCCTCTTTCCTGGGAGGACTCTGAGGTACATCCTCAACATTGCTCCCCAGCTTGCCCACCATGGTAACTTACTGGACAACCCACGTTTACTGCTGTTCCCTGTCTCACCTCCGTCACCTCCCACATAGACTGTTTACACTTGGGTCCTTGTCCCCGGGTCTGCATCTGAGGGAACCCCAATGAAGGAGCCTGCAAATATGCCTAAATGGCAGAGGGGTGAAGGAGAGGGTGTTGATGGCACAGCTCATTGCGGGGAGGCAGTTGGGACAGGGGCACAGGTGATTCCTAAGGAGCCCTGATGGACTTGCTAAGAAACTGTGGGAAAGCGAAGGAAAGGAGAGAGGCAGGGGAGGACATAAGGGTAGTGGTTTGGAAGCCTGAAAACCTGAGTTCGTGTCCAAGCTCTTGCATTTTCCACCTGCACAGCATGGTACATTGGGTAAATCATTTCACCCTCTTTAGCTTCCTCATCTGTAAAATGGGTATCATAATAGTATGTGCATGCACTGATGCATATATCATAAGAACACTCTCCCACAGCCTTATTGTATGGGTCCGATGAAATAATACCTGGGGAACTACTTTGCAATCTGTAAAGCACTGCACTGGCATAATTTGTGTTAACTAACATGCCACAGTATTGCTGTCCTGTTGGCATCAATCTCAAGGTTTAGATGTGAGTAATGATAATCAAAGCTGCACCTGAGAACTTACATGTGCCAGGCACTTTTCTAAGTACTTTCCACGTATTAACTCACGTAATCCCCACAACAACCCAGTGAGGAACGTACTATTATTGTCCTCCTTCTACAGATGGCAGAATTGAGGCCGGGGGAGGTCGAGCCTCTTGTTTAAGATCATATGGCTCCTAAGTGTCAGAGTCAGGATTTGAATCCGGGGAGTCCTGTGAGAGCCCAGGGAGCCTTAACCACGCTGCAGACCTACCAGTACGTGGACATTTGTCACTTCTCAGTGCTCCCTATTAGCCTTTATGGGTCTGCCACTCATGAGTGCCTGCATCTAAGTCCCTCTGGAGCTGTGCACACATGGTCTCTGTGCCACCTCTCCCAGCTCTGTCTGCAGCACTCGCTGACCTGTTAAGTGGCGCTTGCTTTTATGTTCAAGCTTCAAGGTGTTCCCCGGCTAGCTTCAGGCATTTGGGGATCCACTACACGTTCACATCACCCTCCTCTTGAATGACCTGGCTTTGTCTTTCTGGGTTTGCCACCTTGTCTGTTGGGTCTGTCTTCAGCTCACAATCCCTGCGGCTTCTGCTCATTAGTTGCTGCTCTGAGAGTTTTGATTTGTAGAACGGCATACAGTGGTCCAAGGTGTGAGATCATTATGATTATTAATTTTGTACAGGGTTTTGAGTAAATGCAATTTTGAGTAAATGTATAAGACCTTTAGAAAGAGATCTGATTTGTCTTTTACCTAGAATACTGTTTATCTCACAGTTTTTGCAGAAAAAAGACAAGAGCGGCCTGGGAATTTCTATGTCTCCTCAGACAGCATCAGAAAAGGTAAGCCCGTTGTCCTCAGCCTCCTTTTGTCTGACTGGACTTCCAGGGGGTAGGAGGGTTCTTGTTTCAGTGATTTCCAGTTGTCACAACAACTCCTTAGTTAGCACTGGAAGACAGAGAGGTCCAAGCGATACCTTGGGTGGAGCTGTCTGAGAATCCTGTACTGATGGGAAAGGAAAAGGAGAAGAGATTAGGGTGCCCACGAATATTGCAAAATTGATTATACCAGGGATATTAATACTCTGGAAAATGTCTGTAACAGCAGGCAAAAGTACTATCTGAACATTGAGATTGACCAGTACCCAGTCTTGACCCAATGATACAGTCCCACCATGCTACTTACATACCCTGTCTATCCTAGCTAAACTAGACATTACCTCAACTCTTATTTAAGAGACACTTTGCTTGCCATTGGGTAACATTTTTCTTTTTTTCAAAAGACTTTTCAAGGGGTTGACTTCACATTTCCCTCAAATTTCCAAACAGAGAACTATGAATTTGTAATGTGGAGGAAGGGTTGGCATAACCCAAGGAGAGCCAGTTGGGCCAGCACCTAGTATACACCTGGTGACATTGGACCTGGGTTGTGATTCCATTGGCGTTCCAGTCTCCTCCGGCATTTCTGGCCCATGGTTCCACCATCCTGCTCCACGCTGCTCGGAGGCAGGGAGGATGGAACTGGGAGTGTGGGGAAGCATCCTGGCTAGACTTCCCTGTGTATTCTCTTCTGGGAGTGGATTTTAGTCTAAAGCAGTGGTTCTCAACTGGGGATGCTTTCTCCACCCCTACCCATCCAGGACATTTGGCAATGTCCGGGACATTTTTGGTTGTGACAGCTGAGGAAGGGGGAATTACTGGCATCTAATGGGTGGGGGTCAGGGATGATGCTAAGCATCCTGTAGTGCACAGGACGGTCCCCCAACAACAAAGAATTCATCCAGTGCAAATGTCCACAGTGCCTAGGTGGAGAGATGCTGGTCTACAGGCCTCTCCGGCTTGAGGGGTTTTATTAACTCGTCAGCAGATTTCAGACCTCCCTAAAATGTTGTGGCCTTGTCTACCTTAATGGAACAGGCTTTGAAAGTATTAGCTGCTTCCCGCACTCTGATTCCGTATCATCTGCCCCATTCTTGGTTCTACATGTAATTGTTCTTTTGAGACTCGTCCTCTTGAGCCCACGACCAGCCTTGTTAACCCCACTCATGCAGTCGATTCCCCAGTGGGGGAGCTGTCAAGCTCAGTTTTGCCCTCCTTTCCAGAGCCTCCCGTCAGACCGTGGAGAGACAGGCCCCAGTCAAGTATATACGACCCTTTTGCTGGGATGAAAACACCAGGCCAGCGGCAGCTCATTACGCTCCAGGAGCAGGTGAAGCTGGGCATTGTCAACGTGGACGAAGCTGTGCTCCACTTCAAAGAGTGGCAGCTCAACCAGAAGAAGCGGTCGGAATCCTTTCGCTTCCAGCAGGTAACTGGCTCCGGACAGAGCGTGTTTCATGTCTGTTTCTCCTGTTGGGTCTGCAGCTGTCTTTTGTATGGCTAAACTGAGCACCTGTGGCCGGGCCTGTGAATGTTGTGCGAGTGTCATTGTGAGTAAGTGCATGTGCATATCTGTCACCTGCAGTCTGTGACCACCACGGCTCCCTGGCTGAAAGCTGGATGGCTTTTCTGGTGGTTGCGAGGCTAGGGATCAGGAGCAAAGACGCCGTGGTAAACCCCAGTTCTGCGGCTGCTGCTTCCCTCTGTAAGTGGCCCCATGCTTCTCCTTTCCAGCTTTCTTCTTCTCAGAGACCCTGTCTCTTCTCCTCGTGGTCAGACTCCCACAGAACCATCACACTTTGGAACTCAAAGAGAACTTGGAAAGCTCCCAAGAAATATGATTAAATGAACAAAACAAGTCATAGATATAAAACCAGCCCTGGCTGGTTTGGCTCAGCGGTTAGAGCGCCGGCCTGCGGTCCGGAGAGACCCGGGTGCGATTCACGCTAGGGGCATGTACTTAGGTTGCAGTTTGTCCCCGGCCCTGGTAGGTCATGCAGGTGGCAACCACTCGATGTGTCCCTTTCGCGTCGATGTTTCTCTCTCTCTCTCTCTCTTCCTCTCTCTCTCTCTTCCTCTCTCTCCCTCCCACTCTATCTGTACAAGAAATGGAAAAATGTCCTTGGGTGAGGATAAAAAAAAACAAAAAAACAAATAAAACCACCCAAGTTAAAACGTACACACACACACACACACACACACACACACACACACACACACACCTTCCAGTATTTTCCTGCTGTTTCCTGGACCAAGCCCAGTCTCTCAGTTACAGTCACAGCCCAACACACCTTTGCATTCTGGCCTCTTGACTGTGAACTTTCTGCATAGCTGGATGTTAGTCCCTGGGGCATTGTCCCTAGAATGCTCAGACACTTCACTTCCAGGTGGTTGTCATTTATTGACTAAAATAGCAACAAATTTCTACCCTCACATAACTATTCAACATTTATTGATTGACTGTAATAGACCAGACTGCAGGATTACAGAAAGATATAAGACCTGGTCTCACCCTTCAAGAGTTCACAGTACTCTGAAGAGCTCATGTACATGCGCACACACACACACACACACACACACACACACACACACATTGAGAGAGAGAGAGCGCACGCATAACCCAGTACCAGACGACATGGGCGATTACTAAAGACTTGAGCAGTGTGGGGAGGTTTTAGGGCAGCGGTTCTAAACCTGTGGGTTGCAACCCCTTTGGGGGTCAAACAACCCTTTCACGGAGTTGCCTAAGACATAACAGTTGGGGTCACCACAACATGAGGAACTGTATTAAAAGTGTCACGACATTAGGAAGGTTGAGGACCACTGCTTTAGGAGAAGATGAGCCTTGACCCAGGCCTGCAGCAGAGTTACAGAGAGCAATCAATGTCCTTCAAGGTCAGGTGAATCGTGGAAGCACACAATCTCGGAGGCAGAAATGTACATGGAGTGTTCGTGAGCAGGTAACAGACTGGCTTGGCTAAGGGGCACACAAGGAGGAAGGCAGTGGGTCATAAGGCTGGGGAGGAGCTAGGGACCAGGGGGAGAGGAGATACTTTGTTGTAGACAGGGTGTCTCTCTCATCTCTCTAGGCACAACTTCTAAGAATACTTGGATTTCTCTGGGGGCGGATTGCAAACACACTCAGTCTCATTTGCATGTTGGAGACGTTATTGCAATCTGATGTATCGTACAAACAGCATAAATTCAGAAAGAAATTCTAATGCCTAGAAGGTATAATTCTGATGCATACTTTAAAAACAAATTTTTTTCTAGGAAAATCTTAAACGGCTAAGAGATAGCATCACCCGAAGACAGAGAGAGAAGCAAAAATCAGGAAAGCAGACAGGTATGTGGCTTCCTGGGGGTGAGGGACTTTGCTGTGATCTGTTGTCCTAGACTCTCCTTTCTGCTGGGGCCTGAGTGGGTGGACAGCATCTGTCACCCTGTGTACCTATTGTGCTCCCCCCACTAGACTGTGAGATCCTTTTGGTCGACGGCTTTGTCTTTCTAGTTCTGGATGTTTAGTACTGGGAACGTAAGACATGTGAGCAAGTGAATAAATGAAGGGCTTGAACTCTGTATCCCTAACCCTCTCCCACAAAGAGGATGGTAATGCTTTCTTCCCAGGCGCCAATTCTCCCTTGGGCATTTAGGAAGATGTGTTTTTGAGCAGAGAAAGGGGAAAATCCCATTTGCATGGAATCTGTTTTGATTCAAGCAGGGAATTCTGTCATCGCTGTCCCCACCACACACTGCTTCAGAAGAAAAGGACCTAAGCATTGCAGGGCTCCTGGCATGTGTCGTGGGGATCCAGTAGCAGACCCACGAATTCCAGTTGTGCACACAGACCAGGTCCCTCTGTTCTCCTTGACCCATCCTCCCCCATGTGGCACCACCACCCATGCAAGCAGTGGGCATTTGTTCACACTGCATATTCCCACCGAGGACCTGAGGCATGGTGGGTCTCTACGGTTTACACTGGCCAGCCTTATACCAAGAGGAGCTGGGAAAAAATGCTTTCGGGGGCTCTTAGGTCTTGAAAGGAGCCTCATTACATAACGAGTTAAGTCTGTGTATAAGTTCTGTAGTCTGTCTCCAGCTGCCATCAACAGCCCGATTTACATGAACGTGGTAAGGCTGGTAACACCCGTTTTCAAACAGGACATCTTTCTGCCACAAAACCCTCGCTCATGCCTCTCTCCACCCACCTGTAGGAAAATTCCTGGGCTGGCAGCCCCTTCACAGTGAAGCCTTCGTGGAGCACCCCAGGCCACCATGTTCCGTCCTCACTTGAGCATCTGTGGGATTACTGTCTTTCCATTCATCTGGTACTTCCTTTTTGCTGCCTGTGATTGCTGTTACTTATTCCTTCATTCAAACTGTCAGCAATTCCAAATGCAACTTAAACCTGCTCATTTCTGACCATCTCCCACGGCACAGTTGCAGCCAAACCGCCGTCACCTTTTAATGCATGTCCCCATGTCCGTTCTTTCTCCTCTGCAGTTAATTCTACGAGCTGTAGCCAAAGACCTTGTAAAAATAAGCAATCAGATCATGCCACTCCCTTGCTCAAAACCTCCAGGGGCTCTTGTCCCACCCAGAGGGAAGTCATACTCCTCACTGTGGCCTCCAAGGTCCTACATGATCTGACCCTAGAGCTCATCCCCTACCCCACCCCCCACCCCCCAATTCACAGTGGACTCCTTTCTGTTGTTCTATCAAGCCAAGAGCATTCTCTTTGGGGCCTTTGCACTTCTTTTCCCACATCTTCACTGGGTGGTTCTTTCCATCCTTCAGCGCTTGGCTGTAAGTTCTCAGAGGACCCTTCTCTGCCAGTCTCTTCAGAGTGGCCTTCACCACTCACTTCCGGTGCCACTTCCTACCCTCTCTTCACACACCACAGACTGGAATTATCCTGCCTTCTTGTGATTATGTCCCCCCCACCCTACCCCTCATCTTTTGCAGGCTCTGTGAGGGTGAGAACTTGCTTTGTCTTGGCTGAATCCCTGTGTGTAGCACAGTATATTGATGGGGCTCAAGCTGTCTTGGTTGGAATGGTTGATTTCCGTAAAATGTTTGGTGACATCATTCATTCATTCCACAAATACTTATTGAGCACCCTGCCAAATACAGAGAGACCCATAACACATAATCGCCACCATCCCGTAGCTCACGAGTTGGCCTTTTATGTGTGTAGGTCTGGTTTTCCCAGCTAGAGCCTGTCCCACGGTGCCTAGCAGTGTTTTGCATTTGATACTAGCCTAGTGAATATTAGTGATTTTGATTACAGTCGGCCCTCGTTTATCACGGTTAATCAGTTCTAGACTCTACTGCGATAAATGAATTTCTGCAAAGTAGGATTCTTTATTTATATACAATTGTCCCTCGCCACTTCGCGCTTCCACTTCTGCGGCTTCACTCTATCGCATTTATTTTTTTATTTTTTCAAATAAAGAGGTTACACCCATCCCATGGCGGGGGTCAGAGAGGTCATTCTTCGATGTCTGCTCGAGTGACTGGATTTGAACTCTATGCTGCCACTAGTTACATTCACACTTGTCTGCTCTCCTGGTTGAGAGGGTGAAAAAGGAGAAAAGGAAGAAAAGTTGGTTCAAGGTCTGCAAGTCATCCTTGGCTTGGACAATAGGGCTCTAGGTAGTAAAAGGACTAAGGTGCCTTTTTTTTTAATCCTCACCTGAGGACATTCTTCCTTTTTTTTTTGTTCAGATAGAGTGGGAGGGAGAGAGAGGAAGAGAGAGAGAGAGAAACATCGACGTGAAAGGGACACATCGAGTGGCTGCCACCCGCACGACCAACCAGGGCCAGGAACAAACTGCAACCGAGGTACATGCCCTTAGCGGGAACCGAACCCGGGTCTCTCTGGACCATAGGCCGATGCTCTAACTGCTGAACCAAACCGGCTAGGGCACCTTTTTTTTTTTAATCCTTACCCGAGGACTTTTTTTCCATTTTTTAGTTCAGATAGAGTGGGAGGCTGAGAGAGAGAGAAAGAAACATTGACATAAAAAGGACACATCAAGTGGCTGCCTCCTGAATGACCCCAACAAGGGCCAGGGACGAATCGCAACAGAGGTACATGCTCTTGGCTGGAATTGAACCTGCAGCTCATTGGTCTGAGGGCCAATGCTCTAACCACTGAACAAACCAGCCAGGGCCTGAGGTGCTTTTTAAAACTAGAGCACATGAACTCAAATAAAGAAGCTTTGATTAAATGAAGCATTCAAGCCTTTAAATATAGGCAGCATCAAGAACGCTGCCATTTGGTGATGCTTGGCGGGGGCAGGGGTGGGGGCAGCTGGGCATTTAGACACCAGCCCCCGTGTCTTTGGTTGAGGCCTGATGGAGGGAGGCACTTGTAATCTGGCCACCAGAGAAAGCCTCAGCAGTTGGAAGTTGGACCCTGTGCTGGACGGACAGTGTGGCCCAAGGGCTTCAGAGCACCTGTCAAAGAGAAGGCATTATTTATGGCTGAGTAACTGTGATCTATTAGTTAACTCCATACAACTTGAATATATGTATATTTAGTGACATACTAACCTGTAATTGCCTATTCCGGGGATTTTCACACTGAGGTGCCGCTGTGCTGCTGTGTGCATGCTTGTTGGGGCAGAGGTTTGGAACTGGGGGTGGGGTGAGAGAAGGGGGAGCAGATTCAGATAGGGAAAGGGTTTGGGGCCACTTACTCGGCTCCAACCATTGCAGCTCCTTTAAAAAATGTGTTTTCTACACTGAGCTCCCATTTTCACTAGAGGAAAGAATTCTGCTTCACGAAAAACATCCGAAAACCTTTGGCACAGGATAACATTGATCTGTAGGAAAATTAAGGTTCACGGATGGCATTTCCATTTAAAGGACATTTTCCAGAAATGGAACCCACTCCAAGGGACTGCCTCTTCATTTAGAAACCTCAATTGCCTTAGAAAAGAAAAGCTGATCCTTTTTCTTTAAAGGTTATAGGTTAGCACACCAAGGATAATTAAAAAGTAAGAATCTGTTCATAATAACTCGCCAGTCTTTCTTCAGCCCCAGGGAGCTGTTTTGCTCTTATTGGGATGGAGCAGAGTGTTGATGGTGCAGGAAATCAGAGGAGGGCTGGTGGGGCTCCTGGCTTATTGAACGCCCCAGCCCCACAGAGAAGATGGCCAATATTTGTGTTCTGGGTGTGTCTGTGGCCAGTCTGGGGCAGGACCCAGAGCAGCGGGCTGGGTCCCAGGAACCCTGAGTTTTGATCTCTGCTTTCTCACGGAATCACTTTATAACCCAGGACAATTCCTTGAATTACTCTGTGCCTCAGTTTCCCCATCCGTGGTTATACTTGACTTATTTACTTAACGGAGAAGTAGTGACATTCAAAGGAAGTATAACATGTGTGAACGCACTTTGGGGAGAGTCTAGTGATGCTAACTAGTATCCCTGGCATTGTTCCTTTGTTCCAAGACTGTCAGGATTTTGTAGACATTTAGACTGGCTCTATTTGACTTTTTTGAACTTTCGAATCCCCTTTGTCCCCCTGTGTATTTTACTTTTCTTCCTCCTAGTACTGTTGTTGTTTAAATATTGTTCTTTAAAAAACATGCTAGGTCAAAGCTGAGAGGCAAAAAAGTACAACACCTGTTTGAACTCTCAGAATCCCCAGACTCACACCCGTGTGCGGGTACACCCTGCTCAGTCTCTGCCGGGGAGTTCCAAGCGTGGGTGGTGCTTTCTCCACTCAGTTGTAACCACGAGAGCCCAGGGAGGTGACAAGGTCTGTTACACGGAGACCTGGAAAAGCTGGTTTAGCTCTAGGATCATACATGGCACTTGAAACCGGAGTCTCCAGAATGAGGACAGCTTGTGCCTACACAAACCAGCAAAGCACCTTTTAATATTCTCTGTGCAGAATGTTTGCCATACACTTGGTCTGCCCTGTGCTCGCACCCACTCTTTCATATTGTTCTAGCTTGTCCTTGTATCCTGTTGGCAGACTTTTGCCTTTGGCAAGCAGAGTTACCTCTACTCCTAGACTCCCTGAACTTCCTGCTACGCCCATCCCATAGAAGAGGGGGTGGAGGAGGAAGTCGTACCTCAAAAGTAAGGGTCCACGCGTGTACACCTGAGCTACCCCTCTTCCCGGAGGGCCTGCCTCGCAGAGCCAGGGGAGCTCACTGGGCTTCACTCCCCCGGCTTGGGAGCTGGTGCGCCACCGCAGACGTTTTATTCTGCTCGTGATGCGGGAGTTGTTTTCTGGGCTAAGAACCAGGGTGGTAATCTAGGGAGGAATAAAGACCAACCACTGGGCATGGCTAAGCCTATAAAGAGATCAGGTCAATGCTTTGTAGGGCAAAGAAATAATCTTTCTGAATCTGTGGAGTCTAAAACCACCCATCAGTCTTGCAAGTCAGAAAACCTTTCACATTCCTGATGGGCCTCCTTTCGTGGCTGTCTGAGTCATTGTTATCAGTTGTGGACCACCCACCCGTCATCTGTTGTTTATTAAGGGATTGACAGGCAGTGTGAGTGGTGGTGGAGAGCCTGGACTTTGGAGCCTGGTTCGAATCCCAGCTGTCCCACTTACCAGCCCTATAATGAGGCCATACTGCCTCACTGCTCTGTGCCTTAGATTCTGCTGGGAATGATGACAGTACTGTTTATTTCATGGGGTTGGGAGGTTTTAAGGAGCTGAAAACATGGCTGTTCTTAGAACTCTGCCTGACACATAGGGTAACCTCTTATTAGGCGCAGTGATGTTCACCCCCCCTCCTCAGAAAGGGAGGGAACTCAGGCAGGTTGACTGAATGAGTCCCGTTCTGCAGGGGGGTGGCAGAGCCGGAGCCCCAGACCGATCCCTAATCAAACGTTCCTTCTTCTCCCCAGACAGAAGTATTTCCCTGCTCTCTCTCTTGTCCTCCACCCTCTCTTTTGTCCTCCAACAATTGTCACACAGGAGTCTGTGGAGTTTCAGTGCTAAATTGGGCAGTACCCCATCCTTCTCCCCCTTCTTTTCTCTCTCTTCTCCCTGCTCCTGTCCCCCCCCTCCTCCGGGCACCCTCCAGGGAGGCAGGCAGAGAGGGAGCAGCCATGCAGTGTGGTAAGTGGCAGTCCGGTGCTTTGAAGCTTATCCCTTTTCCCTGTAATTCCAGCCCTGGAGATCACTGTCCCCATTCGACACTCACAGAACCTGTCTGGCAAAGTGGAGATTGGAGTCTACGAGAGTGGCCCTAGGAAAAGCGTCTTCCCCCCACGGACGGAGCTCAGACGAGGAGACTGGAAGACGGACAGTACCTCTAGCACAGCAAGTGAGCAGGCTGACCAGGATGGGTGCCCTCACAGCTGGACTCCAGCTGGTGCCTCTGGGCCTTGGAAACATGCCGCTGTGAGCCCAGCGTACCTCAGATGGAGCCTGATTTGGGTTTGGGAGGCATAAGAAATGGGGAACATTTAACCTGTGAGTTTTGCCCTTTTTTTCAGGGTCCAAAGATCCATTACACAAAAATCTCCTGAAGCCAGATTACATGATAATTATTACTCTATCCCTTTTATAAATAGGAAAACCTAGTAATAATACTGTTTAACGCTTATTGAGCATTTACTACATGCTCAGTCTCTTCCATAGATTTTCTGATTTAGTCATCATAGTGACTGTATGGGAGGGGACTGGAGGTTCACTAAGTACCTTGCCCTTGGCTGAATAGCTCATAAGTGGCAGATCTGGGATTTGAACTCAGGCAGACTGGACCCAGGGCCAAGACTAACTGTTAACTCTTTTTGCTTCCTCAGCTGTGGTAAGGAGAGGGAAAGGGCACAAAGTCAGAAACATTAGAAAACAAAGGACTCAAACTTGAGAGTTCCAACACTGTAGGAGGAGGATTTGATTAGGAAATGCCTTCCTTTTGGCTTGTGAGTGTGAAGAGGAGTCTGATGGCAGCAGCAGTATGTGCTGACGTGTGGGCAGGAGCTGGGGCTGACTTCACCACCCGAGTAGATCCAGTTTCCTTTCTTTCACACAGTTCATGTTATCGAAACAGCTAGGAGCGCCATAAAAGAGCAAGAGACGAGCAGCGTTTCAGGGCTCACATCTCCTGAAATGTCAGGCATTGGATGTTGGAACAGGAAAGTCATGGAACCCAAGGGTTCTTAATCTTTTCTTCATCACAAACTCCTTTGAGGATCTAATGCATGTCCTGGATGTACTTTCCTGAAAAAATGCACACGCACTCATGTGTACACAGGCAGGCATACACACACACACACACACACACACACTTACACACTCACACATAAAATTCTACTCATCTGTGAACTTAGGTCACGAACCTCTGAACTAGTCTCCCTTCTTACTTTATAGATGGAGTATTTGTAACCCAGAAAGGGACAGCGCTTTGCCCAAGGTCACACAGCCAGTGAGTGGCATAATGGGAGTGGAATCCAGCCAGCTCGCCTCAGGTTAACATTCCTGCCACTATTACCTGTCAAAACAGACCCAAAGCACATCACACGACCACGCGGGAAGTCCGGACTGGACAGGGGAGAAACCATCCCCTGACATTCTGGGGCTGATACTATGTATCTAAACCCCCCTTGAGGCAATTTAGAGAATTCTGACAGGTTTAGAAATGGGAGATATTTTTCCAGTGATCACAAGTGACTGAGGAAGCAAGGGGCATGTGGCCCATTTCCCAGACATTTGGTGGAGGAGAGAAGTGGTGTGCTTACCACGTGCCGTGGTTTGTTGCCCAGGGATGGCTGGCTCATCTGTTTAGAAGATGTTATTAAGTGACAGGCCAGTGGATTTTACTCTACCCCATGGCTGTAGACTGCACCCGCTCCCTGTCACACAGTTTCAGTTATCTATTGCTGTGTAACACACCACCCTAAACGGAGTGGCTTGAAACGACCATTCATTTCTGCCTGATTGTAAACTTGGGCAGGACTCAATGGGGATGGTTCATCTCCAATCCATGTGGGTCACTTGGGGTCTCTTGAGATACTGTATTCAGCGATAAGCTTGGCTTGGGCTGGAACATCCGAGATGGCCCCTCATCCTCGGGCCTCTCTGCATGTGGCGCCTACAGCAGTAACCTGGACTTCTTATATGATAACCAGATCCATGAAGGGAACATTCCAGGACAGCTCTGATACACCACTGCCTCCTAACCCTCTAAGTCACCCCTGAAAACAGCACTGGTGTTATTAGAATGTAGCTGTCATCTCTCGGGAACCACAGAAAAACAGTTGTAGGTTAAATCTGGCCATCACTAAAATTTTAATCTCCAGAATATTAATGTTACATTGAAAATAACCAAAGTTTCATTACAGAAAGACTGTTGACGTTTTCCTAGATTGTCTGATCTAAGTCACTTAAGGATCATACATTTGGTCGTTTTTTTTCTCTCTCATTCATTCCTCCACCAAGCATTGAGCTAGACTGTGCTGGAGACAGGATGTGAAGGAGAAATGGGTCCTGCCTTCAGGGTGACGGTGATGGAGGAGAGAAAGCACAAAAGCAGCACAAGTTAGATGCTTGTCTGATCCTTTTTCCCTGGTGACAGAGCCTGATACGGGGTGGGCGTTGCCCTTTTCCACATGGGCAAGAGTGAACACGAGGGAGGCTGAGGCCTCCACCAGCTATGCTGTCCAGAGGGAATGAGGACCAGGGCAGCTGATCCAGGGAGCCAGGTTCACAGCCAAACACTGGGGTTAAATATTTAAGAACACGAACAATGGGAGCTGATGGGTGTGAATTTCTAGGGTTCTGGAGCCTGTGCCTGGACAGCTTTCTGCTCCCTCCTTGTGGATAACCTGCGCACAAGACTGGTTATTGTGAGGGAGCGGGATGGACCGTGATGTGTGACAGGGGAGGCCTGGCCCCGCAGGGAGGGGAGCCCACGGGCGGGAATCTGGAAAGGTTTCAATAGCATTTGTCCTGAGCACTGGAGACTGGAGGTTTTAGATTGTGGATGGGTGGGCGGGAGGAGTGGGGAGAAAAGGACATTCTGGCGGAGTGAACAGTATCATATGTGGGTAACCAAATAGGAAGGGACAGGGTCACATGCTCCTTAATAAACAAACTCTGAATCCCCTGGTTTCTAGAAATATTTTGACTTATTATTTAAAGTTTAAAATCTGCCTCTGAGAAATAATCCAAAATTATAATCTTAAGTGAACGTCTAAATTAATTACGTCAAAGTTAATACCATAATGAAGTCAAAACTAAGACTCTTTACCCATAAACTAACATGATGAGGAGCTATTTTAAGTGGAAATTAGCAAACCTAAGATCTGGCAGTAGTGTTAGTGGCAACGTTGGTGAACTGAAGTCAAAGTGTCCTTGTGTCAGTTGATTAACTGTTACTCTTGCGTCTTCCTGGTCAGATCATCATGTCTTGAGCTTGTGCTAAGGCCGTGCTGTCCAGTATGACAGCCACCAGCCACAAGCAGCTATGTCAATTTCAGTGCATTAAAAATAAGGAAAATGTAACATTTAGTTCCTCAGTTGCACTAGGCATGTTTCACACTAGTGCTCATATTGGACAACATAAACTAGAACATTTCTAGAGAGTTCCATTGGATAGTGCTGTTCTGATGATATAGGTGATAAACTCCTAATTCTAAACACACAGCTACAGCCCCTACCATGAGTGTAAATTCTGCTTTAAAACATTTTTTTTTCTTTATTGATTTTAGAGAGAGAGGAAGGGAGAAGGAAAGAGAGGTAGAAACATCAATGAGAGAGAACATCGGCTGGCTGCCTCCTGCATACCCCCACTGGGGACTGGGCCCACAACCTGGGCATGTGCCCTGACCGGGAATCGAACCGGTGACCTCTTTGGTGCATGGGTCAATGTTCAACCACTGAGCCACACTGGCCGGGCAGTAAATTCTGCTTTTGAATTTGTGCTTTGTGGTTTGTTTTGTGTCAAGCTGTCTGGCCCCTTATTAGAAGGTGTATATACACGTGTGATACATCACATGTTTGATATAATTTCTAAGTAAATAGAAAACTTCAGCAACAAAGTTTGTTTGCAGCTTTTAGAAATAGCCTTGAGCAAGTGAGAAATGGAGCATCTCTGCTTCCTTGTCTGTCAAATCAGAGCGCTGATACCAGATAGCGTTTTCGTTGGCGTTCAGTGACCGTGTCTTTAAAGCACATGATGTGTGGAAGCCCTCTGTGAATGGTAGCTGTAAAACAAAATATGTAATAAAGAGGTAAACCATTTCGTTTTATACTGAAAGAAAAACACCCTCTGATAAAATGGTATAAGATGGCAGCATTTTGAAGACTCCCAGATTCACAGCTTATGTATTGTCTCTATCGGTAAAAATAAGCAAGTGCTAGAGTTGTGCACTGTATTTTAGCCTGAGAGAATCTGCGCTCCTGCTGATTTTGTTTGTACCCTGCAGGCAGCGCGAGTAACCGCTCCAGCACCCGGAGCCTCCTCAGCGTGAGCAGCGGGATGGAGGGGGACAATGAGGTGAGAGCCGGGACCCCTGCCCCCATCTGTCTTGTCCTAGGGGTCGTTTCATTGCAAGAAATAGAAATCCAGGTGGAAGAAGCCAGACACAAAGGGTCACATACTGTAAGATTCCATTTACATGAAATGTCCTGAATAGGTAGGTCCAAGGAGACAGAACACAAGTTGGTGGTTTCCAGGGGCTGGGGAGAGAGGAAAATGAGGAGAAATGGCCCAGTGTTTCCTTTTGGGGTGATGAAAATGATTTGGGACTAGATGGAGGTAGTTATTGGTTGCACAATATTGTGAATGTACTAAATGTTGAGCTGCTGGCTTTATAATGGTTAAATGTATGTTATATGAATTTCGTGTCAATAATAAGAGGAATGAAGGGAGGGAGAAGGGGATAGAAATCCACCCAGGCTACTTAAGCCAAAGGGGCATCTATGGGAAGGAGCTGGATGAGTCTTGGGAATCCAGGGCCAGAGATGACGTCTGGCGCCTGGATCAGGGTGGCAACACATGCCAGAGCCAATGCCATCGGTCTGTGTTTCTTAGGCCACAGACTCTTTAGTCTCTACTCTCTTTTCTCAAAGCCCCCTGACCTCTTCTGTAAACAGTGCCCTGGGAGCCACAATGCCTCCCAGCAGAGAGTAGCTGGCTGCCTTAGGCTGAGGCCTACTTTGGCTTATGGTTCTATCCTGACCCAGGACCAGGGGCTTGGACGAGTGGGAGGGGTCACATGAGGGGGGATCACCCAGGAGACTCCCTGAGAAATGGTCCTAGGGATGGGTCACCCCTCCAATGCACAGCTTATTTTACCCTATGACTGAAGACCACTCACAGTTCAGTTGTCCCCAAAAGAAACTTTTGTTTAAAAATAAAATTTCTCCAGTGCTATCTGGTTATATAGAGCAGTGTTCCTCAAACTTTAATATGCATAAGAATAACCTAAGATCTTGTTAAAATGCAAGTTCTGACTGAGCAGGTCTGGGGAGGAACCTGAGATCCTGTACTTCTCACCAGCGCTCAGGTGATGCTGACCTCGGTGGCCCACAGACGTGCTTTGAGTAGCAAGGCCCATTACCGAGATCGTGGGCCTGACTGTCTCCTCGGTGGCTCCAGGAGTCAACAGAAGGCTGCTCTGATTTTGCTGGTTGATCAGTTTGTAAATAACCTTCAGCCAAAGCCTGAGGAGGCGGGGGGGCTTTGGGGATGGCGGTGTCCATCTGTGCTGGCTGCTTGATGTAATTCTCACCTTTTCATCTCATGTTTTTTGCTGTAGGATAATGAAGTCCCCGAGGTTACCAGGAGTCGTAGTCCAGGCCCCCAGGTGGACGGAACACTCAGCCTACCGTTTGAGAGGCCACCCAGGGTGCCTCCCCGAGCTGCCTCACAGAGGTAACGTTGAAGCTGACAAGAAAGCTTTTCCTCCCTCTCTGAATTCTAGGGGAGAGAAGCATTTGGGGGCATCTAAGATGACCTAAGAATGAGTGCAGAACAAACTGAAATGCCTAGTTTTGACATAGTTCAGTGTGGACCCTTCATTAATTTAAATGATGCTTTATTCAGTTGCACACACTTTTATTTATTTTATTTTTATTTTTTGTTAATCCTCACCCGAGGATATTTTTTTATTGATTTTTAGATAAAGAGGAAGGGAGGGAGGGAGAAGAAGAGAGAAACATCAATGTGAGAGAGATACATCGATTGGTTGCCTCTGTAAGACTCTGACCAGGGCCAGGGATCGAACTTGCGACCCAGGTATGTGCCTTTGACCTGGAATCGAACCCTTCAGTCCGCAGATTGATGCTCTAACCTCTGAGTCAAACCAGCCAGGGTGGATGCCCATGCTTTTAATAGGAAATGAAATATTTCATCAATGAACTACATTGGCTATCAACTTTTTGAATAATTTTTATCTATCTGGTTAGATTTGGCTTCCTACTAATTCCCTTGGCTGTATTGTGGGGACAGTGCATTTTGGGGACCAGGAGATAAGAAGGAATTGGGAATGAAAATTAGGTGGGAGGCAGCATGGTATGGTGATGAGGAGCATGGCTCTGGTACCACACTACCTGGGGATAAGTCTCCTCTGGCAGTCACTTGTAAACTTGGCTGAATTATTTACTGTTCATGTGCCTTGACTGAGTGTAACTTCATTCCTGCCTTCCTTACAGCTCCCACATCCAGTGTGGCTCCAGGCCTTGTCCATTCTGCTACTCATTCAGCTCTCAGATGCCCCCCTCCTCTCCATCTGCCAGCACCTAAGTTCATCCACATTTACCTCTCTGCCTCCAGTTGGTCCCTCCTCCACACTGCAACCAGAGTGCACTTTCTAGAACAGAAATAGCTGATGCTGTCCCTTCCTGGCATACAAGCCTTCATATTTAGTTCTGTATGTTTTAGCATGCTCTGGCTCCATCTTGCCTCAAGTGTCACCCTTCTGCTATATTCACCAATGCTCCACCCTTTAAAAATTCCCAGTGAGCTGGGCCAGTTTGTATGTCTTTGCTCAATCTGCCCCTTTGGCCTGAAATGCAATCTTCCTACTCCCATCCAATCTCTGCTTAGAAAATTCCTACACATCTTTTAGGATGCAGTCCAGACATTACCTCCTCTGTGAAACCTTCCCTGATGTTCTTAGGTGCATTTTTTTGTGATTCTCCAAATATCTCTATTATAATTCATTCCACATTGTGGGCCTTGTTTACATATCTGTCTCTTCAAGTGGATATGGTGAACCTCAAAAGAATAGAAACGGTTTTCAATTAAAATTTTTTTCTACTCTCTCCAGTGATTATTAGTACAGTAACTGGACATACCAGAAATTTAGCAAATATTTATATTTACCATGTAAATGGATGGATGGGTGGATGGATGAGTGGATGGATGAGTGGATTGGTACTGCTTGGTTTGGACTGCCTACCTGCTACATAGTTAGCCATTAAGTCATCTACCACAGTGCAGGTGGGCTATAGATGAGTGGAAGGAGGCTTCACGCTCCACCTGTTGTAAGTTCCCAGTATATTTCAAAGTCAGGGAAGGCAGATGGTAACAGGAACAGGAGCAGATGCCCTCTATCTTTGCATGGCATTTTCTTTGCTCCTTAATCCCTATAGAGTGGGCACCTGGCAATGTCATCCTCTTCCTTGGTAAGGTCCTGCCAGGTGAGGGGAAAAAAAACACAAAATTCTTGCCAAGCCATGCCCCTTTGTTATTGAATTTATTTTGCCATTTACAAGTGACTACTATCTCAGTCTCCTTTAAGGCATAGCCTAGGTAAACGCCTAATTACAACTCACTTCTGGAGGCCTGGGGTTAATCCTTCAGCTGCTGACTTGTGAAGAGGTCTGCTGAGTTTCTAGGAGGGGCTGGAGTGGTCAGGGAGTGAGGGGACTTGAGACTGAAGCTATTTACTAGTCGAGAAGCTTAAGAATATTTTTTTTTACCACACTATGACCATACTAAAGCATACCAGCTAAACAGCCATCTTGCTTTAAAAGAACATTAACCAATATCAGATTGCTGGATTCTTGAACTAAACTTATCACCGGCAAGACCTTGCCCTCAACAGGGAGGAGAAACCAGAGCCCAGTGTCTCCAGACAGTTGTGTCTCCAGCTCCAGCTTCCCAGGGTCCTACAGAGGCTGTCTCCCTACAGGCCACCTTTTTTTTCTGGTTTAATACCCTTGAGTCCCATGGTTCCGAAATGTCTATAATCACAAATCCATTTCCCTGAAATGGAACTCCCAAACCTTAGTTGGCATTCTTCATCAGCATGAAATTGAGAGATGGTTTGTTTGTTGACCCACCCCAACTGCAGAGTGGGCAGCAGAGAGGAGGGGCCAGGAGGGAGTCATGATGTCTTCGTGGTGGAAGATAAAATGTAAGGCTTGTGGGGCATGTAGAGGAAAAAGATCTAAGAATAGATCTTTAATTATATTGATAAAAGTATTAGCTTTACTTCTTGAATGCCTACTCTAAGCCAGAAACTGTGCTACCCACTTTCCAATAGTCATCTCCAAGCCTCACAAAATTCTGCAATGTAGGTATCATTACCTCTGTTTGGTAGGTTCAGAGAACTTGAACTTGTCCTTCAAACGTGCATAAATATTTCTGCTCTGTGTTCCCACAGGTTATGACTTCCCTGGTCAAAACACTCAATACAGTTTACCGATTTTTCCTACTGTCTGTTTCATCCATTACATTCTCAGCACCTTCAGGGTGGAATCCATGCCCATTTTACTTGCTGTTATTTCATCCCACATCCAAGAGTAGATGGGTAATAGATAAATATTTATCTGTTGTAGAAAGGAAGGAAAGAAGAAGGGAAGGAAGGACAGAAAAGAGGGAGGGAGGGAAGGAAGGAGGAAGAAGTAGTATCATCTAACTGTGAACCCACAGTTCAGAGGACAGGAAGCTGGAAGGAGACTGTCCATTTGTTTTCCCTGGTTAAAGAGACACCCACATAAAACCATCTACTCCCAGGGGCCACAGCGGGACCTCCTGAGGATATCTGTGATTATTCTTTCCTACCTCTGCCTCCCTCTCTCGTTCCTGAGACAGCCCCTTTCCCCATTTTTGTCAGTTCCCTGACCTATACAAGACTTGCATTCAAGAGACCTTTAGTAAATATTTACTCATTGATTCATTTAATCCTCAAGTACACAGTAACTCAGTTCAATTCCAGCACCTGACAAAGCTCTCTTTCTTGACTTACTGATTTGCTTCCAAGAGAATTAATATTGGTTTTACAGCACACATATGGAAATAACACCTGCAATTGTTGAACCAACTCAAGCCTATCTGGAGTGTCACTTAGGACTATTCAAAACCCAGCCAGAGCAACGGGCAGGGGGGGGGGGGGGGGGGGGGGGGGGCTCTAGGAAAGCAGAAGTGGAGCTGGGATAACACACCTAGTGATCCCACGAGGAAGTAGTTACGAGAAGCAGACCGGGAATTCTCGATTCCTCTCTCAAGAGACCTTCCTACTACAGTGTGTCTCCTGCCTGGCTGCGTATTCGAATTACTGGTGTTTTAAAACAAAGATTTTATCATTATTCAGGTATGGCAAGGCCAACAGAAATAGCTGCCATTGAAAGATATGAACTATGAACTGTGGGCTCACAGATGATACTACTTCTTCCTTCCCCCTTCCCTCCCCTCCCCTCCCCTCCCCTCCCCTCCCCTCCCCTCCCCTCCCCTCCCCTCCCCCTCCCCTCCCCTCCCCTCCCCCTCCCCTCCCCTCCCGTCCCCCTCCCCTCCCCTCCCCTCCCCCTCCCCTCCCCCTCCCCCTCCCCTCCCCTCCCCCTCTCCTCCCCTCCCCTCCCCTCCCTCCTTTCTGTTCTTCCTTCCCTTCTTCCTTCCTTTCTATAACAGATAAATATGTATCTATTATCATAGGTCCCAAGGGGAGGGGCACACTGGGAAGCTCCAGGTGTAGTCAGGAGAGAGGGGAGGGGAAAGGGTGGGCAAGAACTTTTGTTGTGGTTTCCACAGGAAGGACTGAGTGTGGCAGGGTTAGCAGGTTTAGAATTGACTAGTGTGAATAATTTCAGCAGGCCTGGAGCAAAGGAGCTGGCTCTAGTTGTCTGGCACCTGGTAGCTGAGGTGGTTAGGGCAGGTGGATAGTACCCCAGCACCCCCACACCTCCCCCACCCTGGGCTCTGGATTGGTTGGTTTGCATGTGAAAGGTGCACTCAGTGGGACGTTGTTTGCTATTTCCAGGAATTCACTTACCCTGGGAGGAGCGGCCTCTTCAGGCCGTGATCAGCAAGGCCCCAGATGTCAAAGCATCAGAAAATAAAAGACTTGTTTGGGAGAGAGATATGATTAAAAAATTGTGATGCTTGAGCCCAATCTTCTAGAGAATATGATGGAATGGGTCTGGACTAGAGCCTGGGGGTTGGTATTCTTCAGAGCTCGACTGGTGATTCTACTGAGCAGTGAGGATTGTGAGCCACAGTAGCATGTATGTCACTCACTCAAAGGTGCCTGTGTGTGGCCAGCTTCATTAACTAAGGACATGTCCTTTGTATAATAGATCAAATTTGCAACAAATCATGGATGCCTAAGAACTAGTTAATCAAATTCATTTTAAAATAGTTGCTTTATCTGTTTTTTTTTTTTTAAACTTATTATGCAGTAATTACAAAGGTTAAAGACTTGCTGGGCCTGTTGGATTCCTGGTCAGGGTACAAGCCCAGGTTGTGGGCCCGATCCCCAGTGGGGGGCATGCAGGAGGTGGCCAATTGATGTTCTCTCTCATCAATATTTCTTTTTTTTATTTTTTCCTCACCCGAAGACTTTTTTTTTTTCCATTTTTTGTTCAGGTAGAGTGGGAGGGAGAGAGAGGAACAGAGAGAGAGAGAAACATCAATGTGAAAGGAACACATCGAGTGGCTGCCACCCGCACAACCGACCAGGGCCGGGGACAAACTGCAACCGAGGTACGCGCCCTTAGCGGGAACCGAACCCGGGTCTCTCTGGACTGCAGGCCGACGCTCTAACCGCTGAGCCAAACCGGCCAGGGCTCTCATCAATATTTCTACCTCTCTCTCCCTCTCTGTCTAAAGTCAATAAAGAAAAAAAAATTTTTTTAAACCCACAAGGGTTAAAGACTCTTCCATCTCAAATAAAAATAACTATTATAATTATACACATAATAGTACCTTATAAGAAATGAGTCCAATAAATATCACAGTACACTTTCTTTTTTAAAACTTTTTAATGAATTTATTGAGGTGGTGCTGGTTAATAAAATTATACAGGTTTCAGGTGCACAGTTCTATAATACATCATCTGTATATTATGTGTCCACCACCCAAAGTCAAGTCTCCTTTTGTCACCATTTACTCCCCTTTACCCTCTTCCACCTCCCCCAACCCCCTGTTCCTCTGACAATCACCAAACTGCTACAGTGCATTTTCAAATCGGAGAGACAAATACTTTCTCATTCACCGTGTTTGACATAGGAAAGCCTGTTCACATAACGACCTGTAAGGTCATGCCTTTGCTTTATCTTTCATTTCAGGCCTCCGACCAGAGAGAGCTTCCTTCCTCCTCCCCCTGTTCCACGCAGAGGCCGCTGACTGCAGCTCCTGAAGCCTGCCTACGTCAGGACTTGGAGACTAGCAGCTTCCAGCCTGCTCACGACGTCTTCATGTTGCCTTTCATGGCGTAACTGCTGACCCTGAGACCCACTCTCATGCTGATACTGTTGCGGCCCTGCTGGTTTGGGCTTTCCCTGAAGAAGATACAATTAAGGCATGAAGAAGTGAAAAACTAAGGACTTTATTCCCCGTCGCCAAGTACATTGATTCATAACCTTGTTTGCCGAAAGGATGAAGACCTAATTGGGATACTTACCTCTAATTTGATATATCAGAAGCCTGAAAGATTGATTAGAAATGTACTTTACAAGTGATTTTACTGAAATGCACGTATATTAGGCCTTACTTTCTTGTCAGTCCAGACTAATTTCTACAAGTGGTTATGATTTAGTACTTACAGTATTTAAGTAAGAAGACATGTCCTAATTTTTGAATGATTCTTCAGCTTTTCTGTTGAACAGGCCAGGACTGTTCCTTCATCTTCTATTAAAACCTGTGAGCAGATACCCCATTATGTAAATAACAAAGTATGAAGACTGAGAGACTATGAGCAGGAGGTTGGAGTTGCAGTCAAATTCAGGAGGGTGTTTAAAGGCCAGGGCTGGTCACATACAACAATCTGAAAAAGCCTGCAGAGAGGGATTAGTCCGAGCTCCCCTTAGTCAAATCGGAGGTTCCACACACGTCTGGAACTGAGAGTATTTGGTTTGTTAGAGGAAGAGGCAGTTTAGAATCTGGGCCTGCTGATTCAGGTCACCACACTTTCCATTTCCAAACAGCCAAGCCCTCTCCCTCAAGACGTGCCCAGATGTAGAAATTCAGTCAATGGCCGACTATTGGCCTTCCAAAAGTTTCCTTCTTCATTATCTCCTTGGTATAGAACTTCAGTATGCTTTCAAAACAGTGATGCTGCCAAGGAACGTCTATAAATGGTTGAAACCAGAAGCTTGGGATGCCAGGGACCCCATTTGTTCCTCTGCAGATTTATAGGTCTGGCCGTAAAGAGAGGAGGATCCTTGACGTTTTCTCTGCTACAGTGTCGGAAGAGGAAGGAAGATCCTAAAATAGAAATGGTTATCTATTTGTAATTATATACCTATTAGTACCACTGGGCTTTGGCAATCCATTTGTGCAGAGAATATAGAGCCTAAAGTATGTAATGAATTCTGAGTCCTGGAACATACATCTATCTGAAAGACACAGGTCCTTAATTTGATGTTTAAACATATAATAAAATTAATATTGGACCTATTTCTTTAAAAAATATCAGAAAGTTTGTGGTTTTCCAGGAAATTATTCTCCATCCCACAGAGGTGTATAAAAGCCACACTATTAATGATCAATTAAGTACAATTTTATTTCTAATGATTAAAGATTCTTTTTCAATCTCATTCTTCAGTCCAGTGAACAAGGACTGTTATTGAAGTTAATAGCTTCTGAGATCTTGGGGTTTTTTTCTGACATAAAATACACTATTGGCCATGGCCATCAAGAGAGTGCTTGTGCACCTGGCCAGGTGGCTCAGCTAGTTGTAGTGTTGTCCCGTACACCAAAAGGTTGCAGGTTTGATTCCCAGTCAGGGCACGTACCTAGGTTGTGGTTTCGATCCCCGGTTGGGGAGTGTATGGGAGACAACTGATGGATGTTTCTCTCCTTTCTCTCTCAGATGAACAAAAACATATCTTTGGATGAGAATTAAAAAAAAGGGGGGGGGGGAGTTTGTGCAAATTACCTGCCACATGGCTAGTACATAGTAGCCCCTCTGCAGTGGCCCCTTTGTTCTTCTTGTCACTTATTTGGGAGAAACAGGTTGATGTGAGATAAAAGGAGAACAAGAAATTATAATGTTGGTATAGTTGTCCATCCTGTTATTTATAGACAGTCTCTATATTCAGCACACTTGATTTTGATAAAAGCTATACTTTTAGAATATTTAATACCTCTAATCCCCATTTTGGATGCCAGATTTATATTTTTGTACATTCTCTGATTGACAAGCATTTAGATTAATAGCATGATGAAACCTACTGCCAGTCAATAGTGTTAGCATCTTTGTATGCACATCTTGTGCAATATTGGAATATTTTACTGCATTTTATTCTTATGTGAAAATAAGTAGAAAATATAATATTGAACGTGTTGCTGAGAAACCTGGGTCTCATTAATATGATACCCTTGAGACATGGATGAAGATGATCAGGAGTATCAAATCAAAAGTGACAAGTCTTAAACCCTCACTAAATGTTCACTGATTGGTCATATGTAAAAGCAAAAGAAGAAAATGGAAAAAAATTGGAAGAAACACTGGCACTGTGTTATCAAAGAATGTCTCTAATGATGAGGTAAAAAAAATTGTCATTTTCTGGGTACAGAACCACCCACTCTAACATAAATTTATTCAACTTCCACATACCAACTTTTGTACACATTTTTAGGAATCCATTATATAATAAAACCATGGGTTTCAATACAATGAGGATCAGAAACTAAATTGTAACAAGGTGTCCAAAGAGACTATTAAAAAGTGCTCTGTCTGATGCTCTGGGAGAGAGCTCTGCTGTCATCATCCTTCCCCAAGATTTCACAAGCTGGTGGGTGCCATAGAAAGTGAAATTATTAGCCATAGTCACTGCCACTGCCTTTGCCTCTACCTGTTCAAGGTACATTGTCCTTCAGTTTCTAGGCGACCATTGTTCCTTTATCTTATATTAAAACATGTGAACACATAACCTGACTATATAAGCAACAAAGTATGAAGACTGAGAGACTATGAACTCCTATTTGATTGGTGTTGCAATCAAGTAATTTAACTTGACATATTTAATGATGTGAGTAATCCCCAATGCTTTGTCACAATTAGGCAAAGTGATACTATGTAAATGACCTCAATGACTATTTTTCCAAGTCAATCTAAATTATCTATGCTTGTCCCCACCCCTTTATTTTGCTTGTTATTAAAAAGGAGAGGTTCTGCTCTGTCCTGTATCACTGCAACAGCTGGGATTTTTAGATCCCTCTCCCATAGGCCCCAGGAAGTAAGTTGGTTTTCTATGCTCCTCTTTCAAAGAATAATGTGTAGTTTTGCAGTCGGTTGGCTAAGGAAGCATTAGTAACATTTATTTCTAAGAAAGACAAATGACTAATTTGGATAACTCTAAAAGATTCATCCTAACAATCCTCAATTTTGAAGCATCTGCCTGTATAAATATTTGCTTCAGTTTTATAAATAAATTGTGTTCTGTTTATTTCCAAGTGAGTTATTAAGAATATAAAGTGGCCTTCCGCGTTCATTCCTAATGGCCAGGAGTGAAAACATTCCTAATATGTTCACCGGGGTGGTGAAAAGAAGAGTAAGAGGTTGAAAGATGTGTTCTGAATTCTGAGGCACAACTCAGATTTCGTTTTTCTCATGGAAACTGTAATAAATAGTAGGTTCCCAGGCTAGCCCACCAAAAATGCCTTAGCTAGCTATGCAGTAAGAGTTAGCATAGTGCAGAGAGAATATTGGCTTGGAAGTCAGGAAACCTGCAGTTCAAATAACTTGACTACCCTGGTCCGCTTCATCATCTATGAAGAGTTTTGTGTTTAATAATTTTTCAGGCCCCTTTAACTCTGTAAGACCAAGTCTATGGCGAAGGGTAGAGAATCCCTCATCCTGAAGAAGCAGGGAGGCAGCCTTATGGAGACACCACCTAATTGGCAAGGGATCTTATTATGTGGCAGCTGCTGTTCCTTGCCCTGTGTCATTGTTGTAACAGATCAGTTTTTAAAAATGTATGAGAAACAGTGAAATGGGAACCGAACAAAGAAATCAATAGCCTTAGTTGCTCTTCAGACTAAGAACCAAATGTTTTAAGTGGTTGCTTCCTAAAGAAAAGAACTCAGACCAATGATAAAGTTCTTTGGTACCTAGAACATCTCAGAACAGAAAGGTAGTGGTGAAAGGTAGTAACAGCAATAGAAGGGCTGCTCACCCCAGAAGTAAATAACTAGCAAGACAAATATAACAAAGTGGAAAGAAAGAATAGAATTTCTAAGAAAAAGTAGCTGGGGATGGACATCGGAAAATATGTTGTCATCTATAGACCAGACTTTTGATGATCATGTTTATCAAGAATGAGAATAAAATATTGAATTTGTGTCTTTTTCTGGATCATTTGCTGGTCTTAGCTCTATAACCAATTGCATCATACTAGAACTACCATAAAAAAGAGGCTGTATAGCTTGGGTGGGGGTTTCCTTTTACTGGCATTGCCCCCCACCCTTTTTGGTATTAGGGAATGGGGTCATTCATCTAGATGAAGAAACTGGTGAATTAAGATAGTATATCGATGTTTTCCACTCCTGTTTGAAGGAACAGCCCTGATTTTGATGGCGCTTCTGAGTCCTAATTGATTCTGAGCCCGAGGTCATCAGGTTCCAAGGGTCTTTGAAGCCACACTCCTTTTCCTAATCAGTCACTTTATCTCCAATTCCTTTTTTCTATACCTACTGTTACCAGACTTTTATCACCAAAGCCATTTATCATGATTATTTCCTAGTACCTACCAGAATTCCCGGCACATAATAGATGCTCAATAAATAGTTGTTAAATTAATGTTATATTTTCCTAAGCACTCCACCCAAACAGGGTTTCCTCTTTTCTCCTTGCCTATTGCTCTTTGCCTGTGGAACAGTTGCAAAGTTGGTCACATTTTGTGTGGTTCTTTTTTTGTACACAGTTATGCCTGTTCTCTGTTGTGTATGTAATGTTTCCTGGATTTAAGTCAGCACTCCCCAAATGAATATACCTTTTCTCGTGTCCTCCCCATCCCCAAGGAATCACCAATCCAATGGTCCCCCCAAACAGCAAAAAGCTTACTGACTGAAATATGTGAAGCTGGTGATGGATGTTTAAGCAAAAAACTACTCATCGATCTTAATTCAACACTTGCACTGCTTGTTCTTCAATTGCCCATCATCACTTGATTCAAAAGCAGAGATTATTCATTCAGAGAGCATTTACCATGAGCAAGTCACCACGTGAGGTGCTCTGGGGGATATACAAAGATGTGTAAAATGTATAAGACACCTCCTTTGATTTCTATAGCAATTACTGGTGTATGATTCATTCAGCAATTAATCATGTACTGCTTTGTAATATCTCTTAGAGAAAGTGTTCTTTAAATCCTGCTATGCTATTTGACTTTCACTTTCATTTATTCTTGAAATAGTTGTTGAATGTCTATGATGTGACAAGCACTATCCCTGCAGCTGGGACAGAAATAAAGATAAACAAATGGTAGTATTTGCCCTCAGAAAGGTCAGAATGTAGTACAGAAGAGGAAATGGGACTAGATGCCAAATGTTGTTGGAATCCCTAAGGAGCTGCTCAGCTTCCTGAGAACGGCATGCAGGGTTTCATTGTAGAGGTAATTCAATTATCAAGCACAAATGCACAGAGGTATAAGAGAACATGATGATTGGGGAATCAAGGACGGAGACCAGTGGGATGTAAAGTTGGGGAGATAAATCAGGATCTGATTGTGCAGCTGCATGCTAACAGGACTATCCTTTAGCAAGGATCCCCCCCCCCCCCATTACATATGTAGCATATGCTCATTGTGAAAAAAAGAACATCCAAATATTCATAGTCCATGTACAAAGTAGACTTAACTAATGTTAATGGTTTGAGTCATAATCTTTCAGATTGTTTTCTGTGGGTAGACTAATATGTTACCATTTAAAATGGAATTATGCTCTATTTTTAACTTTTTTTTCATTTAAAAGTATTTTGCGGATATCATTTTATGCCAGGACACATAAGGCTATTTCATTTTTCTAAATGGCTGTATGAATGGTAATCCATTAGCAGTAAAAAGACAAATTCTGGAACCAGACTGCTTGGGTTTGGTCTTTCAGCAAGCTACTTAACCTCTGTGCTTCAATTGTCCTATCTGTAAAAGGAACAGTAGTAGCTGTTGTATAAGGCTTTTTTTTTGGGGGGGGTGGGGGTGGATTAAATGAGTCAATACATACTATGGGCTCAGAAATGTGCCTGGAAGGTGAAAATCTTAGCTGTGATTTCATGACTTATTTAAACAGTATTCAAGGGGTGTTTTAAGGAAGAGGGTGATATCAGGTTTCTTTTTAGAAAGGTCACTCTGGCACCTGTTGGAGAGAATAAACAGGAAGGGAAGATTGGCGGCAGGGATACTGCTGGAGACTGCTACATACATAGGGAGATAGAGACTGGCTGCTCCTGGCAGAGGAGAGAGAGGAAAAATAAACTTGAGACATTTCTAAGAGACCTAGTGCTGGAACTGTTGAGTGCTGAAGCTTCAAGATACAGACAATCCGACTGCAAGTTCCAGATTTTTGGCTTAGAGGATGGTGTATGGTGTTTCCATATTAGTATGTTTATTTGAGAGATATTTTTTTGAGTTCTATTCTGAGGCTGGGACGGCAGTGGGCAGGATCCCTGCTTAGGGAGGAGCTCAGATTCCAGGAGGCATTTATGACTGCGTATAGGAAACCAACAAATACATGAACAAGAATTTCAACAAGATTGAACCGCTGTGGTCCAATAAATAGTCGGTGATTTAAAAACACTCGCTCAACCTCCCATTAACAATCTCCCATTATGATGATTATATGATCTCGTGATTCATACACAGCGACAGTGCCTGCAAAGGGTTATCGGACCAGATCTCCCGAGATCGAGAGGCAGCAGGTCGGACCCCATTTCGTACCCCAGGAATATGAGGCCAGGAAAAGTTAAGCGTGTTGGCCAAGGTCACACAACTCCCAGCGTCCGGACGCGGCCCGCGGGCGGCTTCGGCCCTGAGGTCCGGGCTAGGTCACCTACGCCGTAGCCGAGCCGCGCCTGCGCGCCGGGGCCGCGGAGACCAGCGACGGCCGGCCAGGCCAGGGCACCCTGCGGCGCGCGGGCGGTTTCAGCCCGGCCCCCGGCGGCCGAGGGCTCGCGCGTCCCGGGCGGGGCGGCCGGCGGCGGTTGCGGCCCCGCGTCGCAAGGCACTTCCGGCGTGTGCCCGGGTGGCCGGATGACGTGGCTGAGTCAGAGGAAGAGGCAGAGGAGGCGCCGGGGGGCGGGGGAGGCTACGGAGCGGGCGGTGTCGGCGGCGGCGCCGAGGAGGCAGCGGCTGAGTCCGAGCCCCGTGCGTCTCTCCGCGCCCGGTGGATGCGAATCGGCTGCGGCGGCGGAGGAGGAGTCGGTGGGCGGGCGCCGGGCCGGTGGGAGCGCGGAGGATGAGGCCGCTGCCGGGCGCTCCCGGCGTGGCGGCGGCCGCCGCGCTGTTGCTGCTAGTGCTGCCCCTGGCCCGGGCGGACGAGCACGAGCACACGGTGAGAGGCGTCCCCGGCCGACACGGCCACCACCGGCCTGCTCTCCAGCGCGCCATCCCTGCAGGCCCGGCGCGGCCTGGAAAGCCGGGCGGCCCGGTCGAGCCCCGCGGCCGTCCGCGGGCGCCTTCCGGTTGGGCCTGGCGGAGCAGGAACCCGGGCGCTGGGAGGAGGCATTTCCATGCGCTCCTGGGACGGGACTCCGCGCCCGGGCGCCTGGGCCTCTTTCTCCGACCCGGACCTAGATGGCGCCGCACCCCTGCGTCTGGGGCGCCGGAGGCCGGGAAGGAACGTGGTGAGGGTCGGGGCTCCCTTCGCCGAGGGTGTGGCGCTCGCAGGCCGGCCAGGCTCGGGGCTGGTGGCCCCAGGGAAGGGGGCTGTGCTCTGGCTCCGGGGGGCTACGACACAGCGGAAGGTGGATGCATCACGATTACCCGTCATACCCAACCAGGAAATAGCACCACTTTAAGGTCCTACCGGCCTTTATTCTCCCCTCCTGCCCAAACTTGGGGTGAAAGAGCAGTTTACACGTGTGCACACAACAACCCCCACGCACTCACTTCCGAGCCTTTCTTGTGACTTAGTCCTTACCTCTCCAGCCCCTAGGTGAAGCTCCCATCCGGTGGTCTCTAACTAGGACAGCTTCTGACGCGAGGGATCTGAGTTTCCCCGCCTGTCTGCCGGGAGCAGTCCCCTTTGCATTTACCCTGAAGTTCATTGGCTGTTCAGCTGTCATGAGCCTTCACGACTCCAGTGACTTCGGGCTGTAACTCGGAGGTTTTTAGGATGGTAACTGTGAGCAAGGCAGGAAAGTCATAAATTGGCAGGTTGCTTGGCGAGTAATTGTTTTCTTACCTTCACTCACTAGTGATACGATTTTGCATGAAAGGTTGTGTATGTCATTACTGATAAGTGAGGAAATGAAGCAATCGTCTTATTTATTCAGTGCATCCTACTTTAGGTTTTATTTGTGCCCTTGACTGGGAATCGAACCCTACTTTAGTTTTTATATTTGTGATTAGCCAGACTTCTTTTCTCTACTCCCTGGGTTAGCTGGGCTCTTATTTACCTAATAAAAGCGCTAAACTTTTGGCTACTTTACCTTCAATCACAGCCAGAAACTTCTTACCTGTATGTATTTTTAGAGACAAATCTCACATCGATGACATGTTTCTGTACTGTATTTGTGACTTTTCACCTTAACGATAATTTTGTCCAGAGGTTAAACAGTTAAATTGAAAACGATTTCCTATTGTTGTCAGGTTACTTGTCACAAAGTGTAAGAACTGTTCATTTCCAATGGCCATCCTTTTAGTCAATGGTATGGTTACTAATACTTTTCCAATTTATTGAACACTTAAGGAAAGTTACTATGTAAAACTGAGAACTCTCTAACTGTACTACCATACAGGCATATAGACTTAAGAGTAATAGTGTGCTTCTTTATGGATTTTATAATGAACTTCTATAAATAGGGAGAACTATTAACTTAAATTTCAAAAGTTAGAGGTATATAAATGGCCTTAGATTAATTTACAGATTTAAAATGTTAATACTAATTTCACTGAAATTTTGTTGCCAGAAACATTTTAATTTTTTGTATCAGTAATTGAATATAAGATATTTGATGAAAGGGTTTTGAGAGAATATATAAGATAATTGTTGGACAAAAAATTTGGAATCTATTTCATTTATGTCTACATTGGACTGCTCTCACTCAGTTACCTATTAATAACTATTATTGAGAAAGCAAAAAAGTTACAGGAAGTATAGCATTAAGATGTAAGTATAAAATTTAAGTGTCATTCATATTTCTTTTGGCTATTAGCCAGAATATTTTACTTCTTCCAAGTTTCTTGAAAATATTTTTTGAAAATGAAGCATTCACCTTAGCCAGATAACAGTACTGAAAAGGCTATGATTAAGTGAATTTTTTTCCTATCAGGAATGCAGAAGTAGCCAGTGAAGAAAGAATGATACTGAAGGAGGAGAAAAATTGCCAAGGGAAGGTTGCTGAGTAGGTGTTTAATAAATACTTGTGGAATTGAATTATTAAAAAACAGTTTTCAAAAGTTTGTTTAAACTTTAGATTAACTTTCTGTGAAGACAGTTTCCAGTTAGAAATAATAATTACAAGGATTTTTTTTTTTTTCTTTATCAACTTTGGAGAGTGGAAGGGAGAGGGAGAGAGAGATAATAAACATAGATGAGAGAGAACATCCCCCCACTGGGGACTGGGCCCACATCCTGGGCATGTGCCCTGACCGGGGATGGAACCGGTGACCTCTTGGTGCATAGGTGCAACCACTGAGGCAATACAAGGATTTTTGTAGTATTGTATGCTAGGCATTGTTCTAAGTACTTTACATATATTAACTCATATTTTAAACATATATTAATAACCTTGTGAGGTGAGTGATATTATGCCCTTTTTATAGATGAGGAAACGAATGCCAGAGAGGTTAAGTTACTTGCCTGAGTAATGTTTGGATAATTCTAACTCCATAATGGGTTGATACTGAGAAAATGTTTGGGTTATTGTTAGAGAGCAGTAGGACCAACTTAATGGGCATATGACCTGGGCAGTCACATGCAGTGCGCAAGCACGAGGGACTGCTTGGTTTAATGTTCTGTGGTCAGCATCTTGGAATTCTTAATAATTTTTGAGCAGGGAACCCTGCATTTTTTATTTTGTACTGGCCCCCACAAGTTATGTAGCTGGTTCTAAGAAGGAACACCTACTCTGTGCAGTTCCACAAAGCCCCTCATTTCTCTTACTTTAATTAATGAATTAGGATTTGATTTATATGACCATTGGACTTATATGATATTTTTATGTGCTTATTTATCTAAAGCCCTTTTAATATTCTCATAAGAATGATGAGAAGGAAATGTGCTGCTGACTTCTAGAGTATACATACATCTAGAATATATAAAGGTATGTTCCTTTCATTTTTAAAAAGTTGAATCATGAATTACAGGACATTGTTGAAAGTAAAAATTAGAGAACACTTTGCTCTTAATACGTGATTGAAGGGTCATAAAAAGGACTGTTTAAAATGAGTGGAAGGTATATAGGATGTGGTTTATGCTTTTTTGGTTTTCTGAAACTCGAGGCACTTGAAACATCTAGAGTTAGATTACCATGTCTCCTAAGATTCCAGAGGATTCCATTAAAAAGATTTCAAACTGAGAATCAGAATTTTAGAACAGGAAAGACTTGAGACCATTGTATCCAATACACTCGTTTTCCTAATGGCTTGAAGAGGCTCAGTGACTGGCCCAAGGCCACATTAAGAATCTGAGCTTCCTGAAGTCCCAGGGGTGGGGAACATCTAGCCTGAGGGCTGTATAAGGTCCAAGAAATCAATACCAGCTAATACCACACGTCTCACCAAATTAGCCTGACCAAATATAGCAGGCTAATTTTTTGTTAATCCTCACCTGAGGATATTTTTCCATTGATTTTTTTTTTTTTTTTCAGATAGCGTGGGACAGAGGAAGGGAGAGAGAGAGAAACATCGATGTGAGAGAGACACATAGATTGGTTGCCTTCCCTAAGGCCTGGACCAGGGCCAGAGATCAAATCGCAACCGAGGTTCGTGCCCTTCCATTGACTGAGAATCCAACCCGTGACTCTGGACCTCAAGCCGATGCTCTAACTGCTGACCCAAACCGGCCAGGGCTATAGCAGGCTAATTTTTAAGTTGATAATTTTGTATGGCCTGCAAATGATGTTATAAATAATATCCAAATGGCCCTTGGCAGAAAAAGGTCCCCACCCTCGCTAGTCCTTGCTTTTTCTACCTGTCTTGTCCGTATACTTCCCTTAACTATGTAAAGATGTCGGCAGCAAAAAAACAGTAAAGGGCACAGGAATCTTAAAGCATTTTATGATTTGTACTGTAGCCTTGAATTTTAATGGGTTCTGTTTCCTCAAGATCATAAAGTCAACTTAAGAATGTTTTGTCTGTTACATGCCCTGGCTGGTTTGGCTCAGCGGTTAGAGCGTTGGCCTGCGGTACGGAGAGACCCGGGTTCGGTTCCCACTAAGGGCACGTACTTCGGTTGCAGTTTGTCCCCGGCCCTGGTTGGTCGTGCGGGTGGCAGCCACTCGATGTGTCCCTTTCACGTCGATGTTTCTCTCTCTCTCTCTCTCCCTCCCACTCTATCTGTACAAAAAATGGAAAAATGTCCTCAGGTGAGGATAGAAAAAAAAAAAAAAAAGAATGTTTTGTCTGTTACATATTGAGGCTCTGTGCTTGGCACAAGAAGTGGTATTTAATTAGTGCTTGTTGAGTGACCTGAGTAATTAGGGAATTACTAGGGACAAAAATATGCAATGTTGGAAGCATGAAACTGGTGCTTAAAACACAGTGAACAAACTCGGACCATTGTTTACTTAAGACAAGTAGTCTCAGGGATGCCTGTTCTGCTTTAGGGGTCTCACCTAGGCTAAAATCCATTTCTTTTTATTTTAATTTTATTTTCCTTTATTGATTTTACAGAGAGAGGAAGTGAGAGGGAGCGAGAGATAGAAACATGGATGAGAGAGAACATCAATTGGCTGCCTCCTGCATGCCCCCGACTGGGGATCGGGCCCACAACCTGGGCATGTGTCCTGACTGGGAATCAAACCAGCGACCTCTTGGTGCATGGGTCGACGCTCAACCACTGAGCCACACAGGCCGGACTAAAATCCATTTCTTTGTGGCCCATTGTATCTCTGGTAGGTAGTGTTGGAAGGACCTGATCTGTGTCTAGGATAGCTTACTCTTAGCCTCTGCATAAACACTATGTCATGGAGTGTTTTCAGAAATGATTTGTTGGCTTTACTTTGGCAAATGGCGGCCTTTTGTTTTTGTCTCTGTTGGGGGTATAGGAACTCTTAAAACTTATATGAAGATGTATAAAGAGAATAAACTGTTTACTGCAAGTGAATTTGTGAGTACTCTAATATAGATCTAATTTTAGGAAATGCCATAAGTCATTGTCCTATTTTCAGTTGTACTCTGACAGACTAAAAGTTTATTTAGGTACAAAGCTATTTGCGAGGGAGAGAGCAGTTATCTCAAGAGACTATCTACAAATACCCTTCTGATTTATTTGTATTCAAATCCTGATGTATGTGTTTAAAATAAATAATTAAAAGGCATTGAAATTATGATTTCTGAAACATTTTCAGAACTGAATTTTGCTACCTCATATATCGATTTTAAAGCAAACACTCATCCATGAAAATGATGGCATTTGGGTGCTTATTCTGAGCCCTCAGTCCTTTGCCTGTCTATATAAATTCAGATTTCTTTATTCAGATTTTATATAAGTAAATCAAGAAGAACATCTTCTAAAGTGTTCTTTCTGAGAAAAGTTAATTCATGACCTCTATCAAGTAGGGAAACTTCTATATCTCCCCTTTCCCAGCATATAAACAATATTTAAATAAGAGAGGCCCAACATTGGTGACTTCTCAAGATTAGAGCACAAGTACTTCTTAGGAAGTTTTTTTTTTTTTTTTTTTTTTCCTTTAGGGCAGTTTAAAAGCTCAAATGGAAAAGTTGTCAGTATTCAGTACCATCTCTAGTTGCAACTGTACTTTTTTCATATTGTCTCCATTTAGTTTTAGCTGTTTAGTTAATGAAGCTGACTAGGGATTAGCAAAAGTAGTCCTAAGGTTGTAAACTGGATGTTAGTTTTATGATCTTAGATAAATTATTTAACATCTCTGTTCTTTGGTTTGTTTTAATCTGTAAAATGGGAAAAATAATAGGTCCTGTCTTAAAGTTTTGAGATTTGAATGTTCATGTAAAGACCTTACAACTATGCCTAGCACATAGTATGTGCTTATTAAGTGTTAGCTAATGATACTTAATGGTGAAAAGATGGTGAGATCATGCAAGTAAGGGATTGGTCTGTTAAGGCTTTAGCTGAAGATTGGAGGATTGGACCAGTTCTGAAGGATAAGTAGAAACTGGCTAGGTGAGAGAAGGAAGGTATTACAGATTTGAGGGAATGGCATAAGAAGAAAGGTGAAGCAGGAAAGGAAGGGAAGACAATGTCATAAACCATTGTGGCTGGAGCGGACAGCTCAGAGGTGAGTGTGTAACAACGAAACTCTTCTGAGAGCTGGAAAGTGAATGGAATGGTGAGGTGAATGCAGGTTGTCTGAACTGGCTTCTCATGGCTACTTCCCAGGGAGGTCGCGTGGCAGGATTACAGCCATGCTCAGGGACTCCCGATCCACTGCTGTGCTTCCTTGACTTTTTTGCTCCCCTTCTGGTCATACTCTGAGGGTAGAGGGAATAGCCTTACCTGTGAATTTCTTCCCATGGAATTGGGGAGCTCAGGAACTTTCTCAGCAGTTTTAGTGAAGGGAAAGTTGTTCTTCTCTTTCATAAGGTGTGTGGCCCTGGCCAGTTTGGCTCAGCACTTACAGCATCGGACCTCAGACCAAAAGGTCCAGGGTTGGTCAGGGGTTGCAGGTATGGTCCCCGGCCCTTGTCGGGATCCTTCAGGAAGCAGCCAATCGATGTCTCTCTCTGACATTGATGTTTTTTTGGTATTTTCTAATTTCAAGATATTTTAAGACACATTTTCTCTCTTGGAAAATAACTCTTGTTTTGACCTTGTCTTGGGAGTGCTTATTCTTAGGGACAGGCAAGAACTGCAACAAAAAGTAAACATAAGTTTATATATGATCATGGTCTGCATAAGGAACAATGTAAAAGAAACACTTTTGCTTCAGTATTCACCCTAACGTGTGTGTGTGTGTGTGTGTGTGTGTATTATATGTGTATGGATATGTGAATGTATTACATATATGTACACTGTATTTATATATTTTAATTATTATTTTTAGTCTTCTTCCCAGAAAGAATCCTAGACTACAAAATGGTGTATATTTTCTTATAGTTTGCATCATGTCATCACAACTCTACTCTCTTAACAGGTTTCATGAATGTTTAAAAGGAGTGATATCAGAATATGTAGTTTAACACAAACTGTGACCCTTAAATTATTTTAGTCCTATGTTTCAGTTTGTATAAAATAAATGAACATCCTATTTTTAAATTTTTTTAATCCTCACCTGAGGATATTTTTCTGTTTATCTTCAGATAGAGTGGGAGGGAGTGGGGAGGAGAAAAGGTGTGTGTGTGGGGACATCTATGTGAGACACAATGACTGCTGGTTGCCTCCAGCATCACCCGACCAGGGCCCCGACGAACTGCAACCAAGGTACCGGAATTGAACCTGTGACTCATTGGTCCGCAGGCCGATGCTCTACTGCTGAGCTAAACCGGCCAGGGCACGAACATCCTATTTTAGCAATCATTTCTTTATTGTTCAAATTTATGTCTTTTTAAAGGAATATGAGTATTAAGATTTCTAAGGAAAGTGTTCTTGTGCTTATTTTTATGAGTTACATTTAAACTCTCAGCTGGAATAATGGCAAGGTCCTCATTAATAGGTCCTCTCATTCAGCATTCTAATTTTAAATGGATGTATTTTGTTACCTCCACTTTCTTATTTCTCTAAAAGGGTACCATTGCAGTCAGTGCATATGTCGGTCAGTGCACATACTTCGAAATTCTTTTACTATGTTGTTAGAAACTCTGTCAGCATCTTTTTTCATTGTTTTTCCATCGTATTTACTAAATACGTTTTGCATACATTATATTATGGAGAGAGCTTCCTGCCTACTGACCAGGTTTCAGTTCTAATGCCGACTCAGTCAGTTGATAGTGATTGGCTTAGAGCACTGTTTTTTGTTTTTTTTGTTTTTTTATCCTCACCCGAGGATATTTTTCCATTTTTTGTACAGATAGAGTGGGAGGGAGAGAGAGGAAGGGAGAGAGAGACAGAAACATCGACGTGAAGGGACACATCGAGTGGCTGCCACCCGCACGACCAACCAGGGCCGGGGACAAACTGCAACCGAGGTACGTGCCCTTAGCGGGAACCGAACCCGGGTCTCTCCAGACCGCAGGCCGACGCTCTAACCCCTGAGCCAAACTGGCCAGGGCTAGAGCACTGTTTTGAGGATTCTTATATCCATATTGTTTTGCAGAAAGGATTGCCTTGATTGATTAGTGCCATGTGACCATAAGCATTGGATGGAACTGAATGGGGATGTATGGATTTATTCCTTCGTACATGAATATTACCAGCTGTTTTTCTGAATTCACTTGAAATAGTTTATAATTTTCTGTACTATTATTAATCCTGACCCTTCTCTGTTAAAGCAGAATTAATCAGTCCTTTATTGTTTCTACTATAGCCCTTTACTATCTTAATTATAACACATATCTTCATTGTTAATCATTTACTTGTCTGGCTTCTCTATGGATTGTGAACTTCTTAAAGAAAGGGCAGTAATTTATCTGTATATCCTTAACACTTCACACTGCTTGGCATATGTCTCATGTAGCCAAAAAGTGAGATAATTCGTTGTTTCCTTGATGACGTGGATGATGCCTTATATGAGCAATGAGACATTTATTATGTTTGAAGATAGATGATCAGATCTCAGTTCTAGGATGCTGGTGCTGTGAATCAAAAGGAAGAGACAGATGCTTTAGATAAGAGTAGACAAGTCAGTAGTTTTTTGGAATGCAGAGGGAGTTGGTGTTTGAGCTCCATGTCTGAGAGAATGGTACCATTAGAAAAACAAAGTTGAGGGGGTGGATTTGGGTGGGATGAATTGGGTTTTGGAGATGTTGGATTTTGATTCAAAATGTTTGTTTATTAGTTTTAGATGGAGGATTAGAGAGAGCTAAGGATTTGGTGTTTGGGCTAGGTGGATAGCTTCCTCTGTTACATGCTTCATAGCACCCTACTTGATTATAATTTCTTGTTCAATGTCCATAATTCCCTTCAGGCTCTCAACTCCAGTAGGGCAGTGAACATGTCTTGTTCAAAGTTTTATCCTCAGTTATAAAGTTACTGTTTGGCACATGGTAGGCACTTGGTAAATAATTTTGGTAAATAATTGTTCAGAGATTTAACTTCTGCACTATTAGTTGACTTAAATTGTATCCTGTGTTGACTTTATATTGCTAAATTAGGGTTACTAATTTTTAAATTACTTGGATAATTGCTTTTCATAGAATCATTGGACATTTAAACTTGAGATCTTAGAAATCTTTGACAAATCCCCCAGTTGGACACTGGAAAGGTGGTCACCTACCTACCCAAAGTTATTGAACCATACTCCAGTGTGGTATTCACTGATGGGTACAGCCATAGATATTTATTCAAAGAAATATAGAATATATGTCTTTCAGGCTGATAAATGGGAAGATAGATTGTTTGAATAGATTGTGGTAGTTTCATAGTATGGTTTTCTCTTTCTCTTGTTTAGTCATTTCTCTCCTCTGGTACTTTGACTAGTGACATGGATAAGATTAGAAAGAAAATGAAATTTTATTTGTGCTCACTGGCAACAGATTTTTGGAGTTTCTAATGATTAACATGAGGTTTAGATAAGCTATTGATTTTTTTCCTCCTTCCTTGTCATGTTAGCATGGAGAATCATGTTGGTTCTAAGCTTACCATTATTTGATAGTGTAAGTAATAATTATAAACATTTACTGAGTTACTGGATTCTGTTTAAACTACCATCTGTAAAACAAAGTTTGGAAAAGGTGGATCTGCCTACGACCGCAATCAAAGGATATAATTTTAAAATTCAACAAGTTTCATTTTTTAAGGTGTGGACATTAATCATCAGATTAAAGTAAACTTCCAGTATTTTATTTTATAGCTTCCTAAACAGAGACAGTATACTTTTGTTTAGAACAAATAAAAAATAGTCCCTTAATTTGAATATTATTTTTAAAAAATATATTTTGTTTGTTTTTTTTGTTTCAGTATCACGATAAGGAGGAAGTTGTCTTATGGATGAATACTGTTGGGCCCTACCATAATCGCCAAGAGACATATAAATACTTTTCACTTCCATTCTGTGTGGGGTCAAAAAGAAGTATCAGTCATTACCATGAAACTCTGGGAGAAGCACTTCAAGGAGTTGAATTAGAATTTAGTGGTCTGGATATTAAATTCAAAGGTAAGTAAACCTTAATAGTCCTTCTAATACAAGTTAGATTGTAGACCAGGGTTTCTCAACTTTGGAACTATTGACATTGCAGCAGGATAATTCTTTATGTGAGGGGCTATCCTGTACATTGTAGAAGTATCTTTCGCTTCTTCTACCCACTAGGTGCCAGTAGCACTTTCCAGTTGTAACAGCTGAAAAGTCTTCAGATGTTGCTCATTTGAGTACCTACCACTGCTCTAGACTCTAAGAAATATATATATTTTTAATACGTTTTTATTAATTTTTTAGTGAGAGAGGAAGGGAGAGAGAGAGAGAAGCATTGATGGGAGAGAGAAACATTGATCGGCTGCCTCCTGCATGCCCCCCCACTGGGGATTGAGCCCGAAACCTGGGCATGTGTCCTGACCAGGAATTGAAAAGGGACCTCTCATTCCATGGGACAACGCCCAATCCACTGAATCACACTGGCTGTGCTCTAAGAAATGTTTTAACCTATAACTTAAGTGCATTACATTTAGAAAAATGTAGTAGTAGCTAACAAAGATTTATTTTGAATATTTATAAAATAACAATGAATAATTGTTAATAAAATTATATTTTCCTAGCATATTTCTTTCTCAGAAATATATTCTAGTAAACCCTCTACTGATTGATTTGACATAGGTGGTTGGGGAAGGCCTTCTTAGATTCATAATGGAGTAATTTCTAGAGGTGCGGGGATGTAATGAGGTGTATGGACACTTAAAAATTTTGTGTAAATCCTCAATTTCAAATGTGTACTATTGGCTTAGAATGTATTTAAAAGTGCTGTATTAATTTACACTCTCAATACTTATAGGATAGTGTGGTTTTATTTATTTTAAAATTCTCACCCGATGATACTTCCCATTTATCTTCAGATGGGGGGGTGCGGGAAGACAGAGGGAAACATTGATGTGAGAGGGACACATCAATTAGTTGCCTCCCCCACCACCCCAACCAGGGCCAGGGACCGAACCACATCCAATGTACTTTCCCTTGACTGGAATTGAACCCGAGACTCTTTGGTCTGCAGCCCAACGCTCTAACCACTGAGCCAAACCAGCCATGGCTAGGATAATGTGGTTTTAAATTTTAAGTCAAAAACATGTTAAAATTGAAAAGATCCTTAGGTCCTTTGAGTGTGTTTATACTTTTTATTTTGCTCTGTGAAGTTTGTCAGAGAGTGTATTTCCTGCAGAGACATTTTTAATCTGGTGAGTAGAAGCATGAATTTTTGCAGAATCTTTGATTAGGTGTCTTGATTTTTGAATAGGGCATGGATCTTGTAATCAGGAGCTTTGAATTTTAATCCTATTTCTTTTACTGTATCGGTTTCAGTAAAGTTGTTTATTCCAATTTGATTTCATTGCCTAAATGTGTAAAATGAACAGTAACTGAATTCTGGCAATTTTTGCACTTGTGGGAGGATGATATGAAATGAGATTTGAAAAATAATGTTTAACTTTAATTAGTTAAATTTTATTCTTTTTTTTTTTATTTTATTTTTCAAATCTTTATTGTTGGATGTAAAATGTATTACAGATGTTCCACATTTTTCCCCCATTGACCCCCTCTTCCCCACTCCCACCCCCCTCCCACCTTTTCCCACACTATTGTCTGTGTCCATTGGTTATGCATATAAGTTCTTTGGTTTATTTCTTCCCACCCCCCAAACCCTTTTCCCTTTGAGGTTTGTCAGTCTAGCAATGAATTTGTGCTTCTTAATCCCTTCACCTTTTTCACCCATTCCCTCAACCCCCTCCCAACTGGCAACCAACAAAATGTTCTCTGTATCTATGAGAATGTTTCTGTTCTGCCTGTTCATTTTGTTTGTAGATTCCATTGTCGATAGATATGTATTCATTGCCATTTTGTTTGTTCATACATTTTATCTTTTTCTTCAAAAAGACCCTTCATCATTTCATATAATAACGGTTTGGTAGTGATGAACTCCTTTAACTTTTTCTTGTCTGGGAAAGTTTTTATATGTCCATCGATTCTAAATGACAGCTTTGCAGGATAGAGTAATTTTGGTTGTAGGTTCTTGGTTTTCATCACTCTGAATATTTCTTGCCACTCCCTTCTGGCCTGCAAAGTTTCTTTTGAGAAATCAGCTGACAGCCTAATGGGAATTCCCTTGTAGGTAACTAGCTGCCTTTCTCTTGCTGCTTTTAAGATTCTCTCTTTGTCTTGAACCTTTTGCATTTTGATGATGATGTGTCTTGGTGTGGGCCTCTTGGGGTTCATCTTGCTTGGGACTCTCTGTGCTTCCTGGACTTGTATGTCTGTTTCCTTCACCAAGTTAGGAAAGTTTTCTGCCATTATTGTTTCAAATAGGTTTTCGATTTCTTGTTCTCTCTCTTCTCCTTCCGGCACCCCCAAGATGCGAATGTTGGCACGCTTGAAGTTGTCCCAGAGGCTCCTTACACTATCCTAATTTTTTTGGATTCTTTTTTCTTTTTGCTGTTCTGATTGGGGATTTTTTGCTTCCTTATATTCCAAATCGATGGTTTGCTTCTTGGATTTACATACTCTATTATTGAAGCTGTGTAAATTATTCTTTATTTCAGTTAATGCCTCCTTCAATTCTGTGTATCCATGATTTCTAACTGGTCCTTTTTTATGCTCTTGAGGCCCTCCCTAAGTTCACTGAGGTTCTCACTAAGTTCGTTGAGCATCCTTATAAGCAGTATTTTGAACTCAGTATCTGTTAGGTTGCTTATCTCCATTTCGCTTAGTTCTTTTATTGGGGTTTTGTTCTGTTCTTTCATTTGGGACCTGTTTCTCTGTCTCCTCATTTTGGCTGCCTCCCTGTGTTTGTTTCTGTGTATTACTTAATGAGAGGTATGGGGCTAGCAGAGACCAGATGCTGCTCGTTTGAAAGAATTTAGGAAAAACCTGAAGCAGGATCCAAGACCGGCCAATCCTATGGTTAAGCAAGTGGCAACAGCTTGGGTGGGCTTGAAAGTTGGGTGGGGTGGGGCGGGGGCTCAGGGAGTCACCAGGGCGGGGCTACCAGTGTGAGCCAGGTTACTGGAGTCCCAGATATGGAGATGGTCTGCCGCCCCCGGGAAGGGCTCACCAAAGGAACAAAGGCCTCTTACAGCACTTTTGTCCCCGAGAAAGCCCCCTCTCCAGCCCTTGCTCCAGTGCCAAACAGCTCAGTTCTTCCCTGTATGTCTCTGGCACCCCTCGGGCTGCCTCCCCTCCAAGCTTAGAGGGAGAGAGTCCGATAAGTCCGTGCGCGGGCCCTTTAAGGAGCTGCCTGGGGCTCCAGCTGCTTCAGCTTCCCCGAGCCTCAGTTCCCGCTGGTTTTTCCAGCCAGAAGTTATGGGGACTTCTCTTCCTGGCACTGGAACCCTGAGCGGGGCACCAGTCTGAATGTGGCTGCTGATTTAATTCCGTAGTTGTAGGACTTCCATTCAGCTTGATTTCAGGCGGTTTTGAATGATGGTTGTTCTGTAGTTTAGTTGTAACTTTAATGTGGTTGTGGGAGAACGGATACCGCGTTTACCTACGCCGCCATCTTGACCGGAAGTCTTAAATTTTATTCTTGTTTTTAGAATATTTTTTGTTATTGCTATTGAAAATAGGTATATATACATATTTGCATCCCCCCCTCCCCCCATTATATTCCTTGGGGCTTAATTATAAAATGAACTTGTAAATTTAAACCAGTTACCTAGCCTATAGCTTTATGAATTATTGTAAACATGCCCTGAGGTTTGTGTATTAATTTAATCAGGTAGCTTAACTTTTGGGGGGGGGCGCGTTAATCCTCATCCAAGGATATATTTTTTCCATTGATTTTTTTTCTTTTAGAGAAGAGTGGAAGGGAGAGAGGGAGGGAAGGGAGGGAGGAGAGAGAGAGAAACATCGATGTGAGAGACACATCCATTGGTTGCCTCCCACACACTCAGGGATCTTACCTGTAACCCAGGGTCTGCCTTTGACTAAGAATTGAACCTGAGACACTCTGACCAGGATGGTAACTTAACTATTTGATCACAAATAAGGAGAACACAGAATAGAATGTGTGATCTTTGAGAAACTCAATATCAGGTTTATTCCCCTACTTTCTCCTTTTCCGTATTTGGTACACATTTTTTTATTTTTTTTATTTATTTTTTATTTTTTTATCCTCACCCGAGGACATTTTTCCATTTTTTGTTCAGGTAGAGTGGGAGGGAGAGAGAGGAAGGGAGAGAGAGAGAAACATCGATGTGAAAGGGACACATCGAGTGGCTGCCACCCGCACAACCAACCAGGGCCGGGGACAAACTGCAACCGAGGTACGTGCCCTTAGCGGGAACCGAACCCGGGTCTCTCAGGACCGCAGGCCGATGCTCTAACCGCTGAGCCAAACCGGCCAGGGCCATTTTTTTTAATTTTTACTTTTTTGTTGTTGTTGTCGTTAATCCTCAGCCGAGGATATTTTTCCATTGATTTTCAGATAAAGTGGAGGGGAGGGAGGAACAGAGAGAAACACATCGATTGGTTGCCTCCTGAAGGACCCCAACCTGGGCCAGGGATCAAACCTGCAACCCAGGTACGTGCCCTTGACCGGGAATTGAACCTGAGACCCTTCAGTCTAAGGGCCAATGCTCTAATCGCCGAGCCAAACTGGCCAGGGCTATTAGAATAAATTATTAAAAGTAGAATTACTGAATCAAATGCTATAAACACTTATTTATTTATGTTAATCTTTACCCTAGAGGATGTTTTTCCATTGATCTTTTTAGACAGTAGTGGGGCGGGGGAGAGAAACATCATTGTGAGAGATCAGACACATCAACTGGTTGTCTCCTGCACACAACTGGGTCTGGGGGATTGAACCTGCAACTCAGGTACATGCCCTTGAATAGGAATTGAACCTGTGACCCTTTGGTCCTAAGGCGAATGTTCTTAACCGCTGAACCAAATTGACCAGGGCTATCAACATTTTTAAGGCAGTTCTTTTTTTTTTTTTTTTTTTTTTTTTTTTAGAGTGGGAGGGAGAGAGAGGAAGGGAGAGAGAGAAACATCGACGTGAAGGGACACATCGAGTGGCTGCCACCCGCACGACCAACCAGGGCCGGGGACAAACTGCAACCGAAGTACGTGCCCTTAGCGGGAACCGAACCCGGGTCTCTCCGGACCGCAGGCCGACGCTCTAACCGCTGAGCCAAACCGGCCAGGGCAAGGCAGTTCTTGATACATGTTGCTAAATAGCCATCTAGAAAAAAATCGTACAGTTTATACTGCCAATGAGGTCGGTCAGTTAATCATTACTCTTTATATATGGTTGGTTAATTAACTGTGAATATATCAATTTTTCCAGTCACTCTCCCCCCTCCCTTTTTTTTTTTTTTTTTTATGGATTTTAGAGAGAGAGGAAGTGAGAGGGAGAGAGAGATAGAAACATGGATGAGAGAGAACATCAATTGGCCACCTTCTGCATGCCCTCCCCTGGGGATCGGGCCCACAACCTGGGCATGTGTCCTGACCGGGAATTGAACTGGCGACCTTTTGGTGCATGAGTCGATGCCTAGCCACTGAGCCATGCCGGCTGGACACTTCCCCCCTTTTAGAAAATTTTATTTAGCAGTTTTTGAAGGCTACTACTGCATTCCAGCACTATGGTAGGCTCCATGGGCTCCCTGAAATTGTACACATAGTTTGGTGTGAATGTGCATTTTGAGGGGGTTAGGGAGATACTACTTTCATTGGATTCTTAAAGAAGTGTGTGCCCCAAGGAAACTTAACACTTTGACTATATTGACACTTTAAATTAGTACAACTCCGGAAAAGATAGCATTATCTCTGTTTTGAGGTTAGATGACTTGTTTTTATTCACATAGCTAGTAAGGAGGGGATCCCAGATGAAAACTCAGGTTTCTGCCCAGTTGTTGTGAGTTTGTCTATAGTGACTTCATGAGAAACTTTGCTGAATTTGAGGTAGAGTATTTCTGATTTTGCAGTTTTGTAATGATATTAAGAAAGAAAGTAAACAAAGTGAAGCTTGATACGTTCATAGAGAACTCAAATAATTATCACATTCTTTTCTCATATTTTCACTATAAGTTCAACTATTGATCTGGAGTGTTGTTGAGAATTGATGACAGACTTATTGATATGCAGCTTCCAGAATCTGTCCTTGCTTTCTGAAAAATCAGTATTAACATTTCCCACTTTATAACTTTGGTTTGTTTTTCTCCCCCCCCATAAAAAGTATTTATTGGTAAATAAATTGGTAAAATTTTAATTGCATCATCTTCAAAATTCATAGATGTGTATTTCATCTAAGAACTATGTTTTAATTTTAAAGCAGTGGTTCATGGTAACAGATGTTTAAGATTGTTTTTCAGTGTAGTATAGAATGCCGACTAATGATTTGGCATATTCAGACACATTGCATTCCTAATCTTTAAAGTGACTCTCTCCTTTGAGAATTGCTATGTTTCTCGACTAACCAGCCTCTTGAATTATTTCTGGTGTTTGTATTTGCCTACATGCATGCAAGAGGAATTTCATTAAAATATGACCAACCAAGGCCCTTTTCATAGCCTGGCATCATGATAGAGTTTTTCTTTCACTGAATTTCTAGATTTTACATCAGTGAAAGTTACTCTTCAAGACTTATTCGTCAATCCTTTTGAGCTACTCTCCTCATTTTTTTCTTACACACACACACACACACACACACACACAGATATATGTATATGTGCATAATTTAATATAGAGATTTTCTTTGCTAAATACATAGAACATCATGCTCTTAAAATTTGTTAACATTTTTTTTGTTTTAGTACCTGCTTTGTGAAGGGTACTATAACAGGCATAGCTAGAGGTAAAAAGGCTATAATCAGTTATAAACAGCTCTCAATACCTGATAGTGGTTTTGAGGAGTAAGATACTGGAAGAGGTTATAAGTAGTTCAGGCTGGTGCCATAGGGAAGTATGGAGAGAAAGCCATGGGACTTCAGAGAAAGGGGAAGGTTGTGGGGTTTGAGGTTTGGGGAGTCAGGGAGAGTGTGGGGAATGGGAAAGATTTTAGGATGGACATTTGAGGTGGAGTTTACAACGTAAGCAAAAAAGTTCAGAGGCCAGAAAGCACAAGGTGTGTGAGAATTTCAGGCAGTGGAGTTTGGCTAGAGTATAGGGAGAAGGGGTGATAGAAATTTGAGAAAAGAGAGTTGAACTTAAGTTCAGACTGTTAGGGAGAAATCTTTTAAAGGCTTTATATAAGTAATGTTATATCTCAGAATTTCATATGCAAAACTCTGCATTGTTAATGACAGTTATCAGTGAAGATCTGATTATAACCGGAAGGAATTTGGTGGCTTTGCAGACAGGTAGCTGTGAGGTCTCCCTCAGCCACTATGGCCATTTGTTGCTGCTCAAGCTTGGTCCTTCCTTTGATTTTCACTCTTCCCTTTGTAACTGTTGCTGCCTGCTGCCCTTTGTGCATTATCACAATCCATGAAAACCCCACTTGTGGACCTCTTGCTACTAGTTCTCCGAGATCTTGCTGTAGGGACCCTCTGTAGCAGTCTCAGCCTCTACCTTCCCTTCCTCCTCTGTTCAGCCTCAGTTTTTTGCCATTATGAAAATCCTAAATTCCTTGCTGTCTAAAAGGGCGTGGGTAGAAATAAAATCTGTATGGGAGCCATTATTATTGGAGACAAAGCAATTTTCTTCTCCCGCTTTGAGAATGAGAGAAGGTCCCTCTTCTTTCATGGGACTTCAGTGTTTCCTGCCTTCTTGGGTATTGTAGTCTTGAGGTACCCCCTCCGGGCTGAGCTGTAATAAGGCAGAGCTGTTCTTTTTGAGGGTTGGGGAGACATGATACTGGTATCTGGGAGTTATAATGCAGATTGCTATTTCTTGTAGAAATAATATTATAGATAGCTGTTAATCATAGTTCAGCTGCAATTTATGTTTAAGAAGTTTTTAATCAATATTTAAAAATTTAACCATTTTTCTTGTGAGAAATTGCATTTTAAGTTCTGAATAACAGATGTTATAGTACAGGAAAACTAAAAACAAACAGCTATGCTTTTTTGTTGTTAAGATTGATTTCTAGCCCTGGCCAGTTTGGCTCAGCGGTTAGAGCGTCGGCCTGAGGTCCAGAAAGACCCGGGTTCGGTTCCCGCTAAGGGCACGTATCTCGGTTGCAGTTTGTCCTCGGGCCTGGTTGGGTCACGTGGGTGGCAGCCACTCGATGTGTCCCTTTCACGTCGATGTTTCTCTTTCTCTCTCTCTCTCTCCTCTCTCTCTCCACCTCTTTCTTCCTCCCACTCTATCTGAACAAAAAAATGGAAAAATGTCCTTGGGTGAGGATGAAAAAAAAAAGATTGATTTCTGTTTTTCCCCCCTAATTGCTTAAGTAATATACAAAAACAATTGAATCCTTTTGTTGGACATCTAGAGTATCTGAGGTTTTTTTGGTTTTAGTTTGTTTTGTTTAGAAACTAATGATCATAAGTACATTTTGAAAGGTTTATGTTAGAGACCATCTGAACAGTATTATGGTAGCAGTGTTTTTTAAAACAATCAAGAGTGGAAGTGATTGATCTCCAGGAAACATTCAGGTAGGTAATTTATAAACACTGCTGCCTGCTACACAGAGGTTTGCTTTTTAATCTTCTGATTATGAAGAATCACAGAGATTCATAAGTAGAATCTGTGTTTTCTAGTGACTTTCATTTCCAAGAATGTTCAAAAGAATATTTATCTCAGAGATGTTATAGCTAGAAATTGTTGGCCTAATTAAGAACATATTCTTAAGTTTTTGTATACCTAAATGAAAACTTTCCAAGTATTAAGCTTTTTAATTTTTGTTCTTTAAATGAAAATCAAATTATTCATTTTAAAGTTACTTTGTAGCCTGGCCGATGTGGCTAGTTGTTGAGCATCAACCCATGCAGTAGAGGTTGCCAGTTTGATTCCTGGTCAGGGCACATGCCCAGGTTTGGGCCCGATCCCCAATTGGGGGCATGCAGGAGGCAGCCAGTCAATGTTCTCTCTCATTGATGTTTCTGTCTCTCTCCTTCTCCCTTCCTTTCTCTCTAAAATCAATTAAAAAAAGAAAAAATATTTTAAAAAAATGGTTACTTTGTAAATGTTCTTGTATAGTTTTCTTTATTTAAGGAATGATTTCTTCACTCAGTAAGTTAATCTTTGAAAATAAAGACGATTAAAACTATTTGATTGTAAAGTCTTAAATATATACAAAAAAGAAAGAATTGTGTACTGAATACCCCCCCGCCCCCCATTTATCACCCTGATTTTCTATTATGAATAGAAATTTTAACTTCAGGAAATGTTGGCTTTTTTCTTCTGTTATTTTTTTCTATAATTATTGTGCAAACCAATGTGTTAATTTGCAATTTTTATTTTATACAGATGATGTGATGCCAGCCACTTACTGTGAAATTGACTTAGATAAAGAAAAGAGAGATGCATTTGTGTATGCTATCAAAAATCACTACTGGTACCAGATGTACATAGATGACTTACCAATATGGGGTGAGTATTGTATGTTTTTTTTTTTTTTTTTATCCTCACCCGAGGACATTTTTTTGATATTTTGTTCAGATAGAGTGGGAGGGAGAGAGAGAGAGAGAGAAACATCGACGTGAAAGGGACACATCGAGTAGTCACCACCCGCACAACCCAACCTGGGCCGGGGACAAACTGCAACTGAGGTATGTGCCCTTAGCGGGAACCGAACCAGGGTCTCTGGGGACCGCAGGCCGACGCTCTAACCGCTGAGCCAAACCGGCCAGGGCTGTATGTTATATTTAAAGTTTGGGAGTCCTGCCAGAGAGTCCCGGGTTCGGTTCCGGCTAAGGGCACGTACCTCAGTTGCAGTTTGTCCCCAGCCCCGGTGGGGGCTTGTGGGTGGCAGCCAGTCAGTGTCACTCTCTCACATCGACGTTTTTCTCTCTCTCTCTCCCTCCTGCTTTATCTGAAGATAAATGCAAAAATGTCCTCGGGTGAGGATAAAAAATAAAAATTAAAAAATTAAAGTTTGGGCCCTGGCCAGTTTTGCTCAGCAGTTAGAGCATCGGCCTGAGGTCCAGAGAGACCCGGGTTCGGTTCCCACTAAGGGCATGCAGCTTGTCCCCGACCTTGATTAGGTTATGCGGGAGGCAGCCACTCGATGTGTCCCTTTCACGTTGATGCTTCTCTGTCTCTCCCTCCCACTCTGTCTGAACAGAAAATGAAAAAATGTCCTCGGGTGAGGATTAAAAAAAAAAAAAGTTTGGGAATATTTACATAATCAAGATTTATTTAATTACTCTGTTAAGGTGATTGTACACTGAATCAATAAATGTGTTTTCACAATTTTCCATAAAATGATTTTAATACCAATTTTATGGTCCCCTGTTACTTGAAGGGTTTTTGACATTGCTAAACCTTACACGAAACTCCCTCAAAATATAATTTTTATGCAGTATAACACTTCATGTTCAAGGGGTTAAAAGTTGCTTTGAACAATCTGAAATATTCCCCCTTCCCCTATTTTTCTCATATCTTATTTTGACTTATACTATAAAATGCAATCAAAGGAACTAAATAGGACTTTGAAATTTTATTCTGATTTTGTCTCATGTGGAACTGTGGTAGTATGGATTTTATTTTATTTTATTTATTTATTTTTTTGTCCTCACCCGAGGACACTTTTCCATTTTTTGTTCAGATAGAGTGGGAGGGAGAGGAAGAGAGAGAGAGAGAAACATCGACATGAAAGGGACACATCAAGTGGCTGCCACCCGCACAACCAACCAGGGCCGGGGACAAACTGCAACCGAGGTATGCGCCCTTAGCGGGAACCGAACCTGGGTCTCTCCGGACCACAGGCCGATGCTCTAACTGCTGAGCCAAACCGGCCAGGGCGGTAGTATGGATTTTAGATATGATAGGTTCCCGAATGACTTGTTTTGCTAGTTCCTATGTTATTTTACAAAACTCTGTATGTTTAATTTTTTTTTGGTTTTAGCTTTTTAGTTTTTTATGTTTAGTTTGTTTATCCCTATGAATGGAGAAGAGCAATGGCATAATATATACCATGTGTTAGACTTGATTAAGTTATTTGAAGTGCAAAGCATAGCCAGCTATCATAGCTAACATGTTTGATCAAATTTTTCTCTTGGTGATTTTTCTGTTAGCCATTCTTTTGGGGGTGGGGTGGAACTGGACACCTATTCTTATGTAAAATTAATATTCTGATTCTTAAAATTGTTAGCAGACTACTATATTCAGCAAACTGAAATACTGAACATAAAAGATCAGATTTAGTGTGGTATTAAGATTAAAGTTATATGAAAGTTAATCTCAAGATATAATTGTATGCATCATTGTTACTGTTGCATGTTAATTAGGTATAAATAGTAAGCATTTCATATAAATGACTGTAATTAGTATTACATTAACACAGACATCTCTGTGATCAGCTCTGAGGGTGGCAAGAAGATGTGCTGGAAATTCTTCCATGATTTCTGAGCCTGTAGTTCAGGAGAACTCTTTCGTCTGGGTTTCCAGTTTTTGGTGAGAGCAGGCTCCTCTCCTAGTCTTTTCTTTTGCTTATGGGTTTCTTGTCTGGAACCTTAGGTATCTTTCAGTCATTTCTTTTTTTTAAATATTTTTTCTTTATTGATTTGAGAGGGAGAGAGAGAAAAAAACATCGATGAGCGAGAACATCAACTGACCGCCTCCTGCACGCCCCCCGCCTCCCTGGGGATTTGGTCCACAAGTTGGGCATATACCCTGACTGGGAACTGAATTGGTGACCTCTTGGTACAAGGGTCAATGCTCAACCAGTGAGATACGCTGGCTGGGCTCTTTCAGTCATTTCTGTGGGCATTCTTACAATGTGGCAACTATACTTTCCTGTCTTAAATCTTCTTTAGCCCTGGGATATCAGGGTCTGCCATATTTAGGGGAGATTCTTTTGGGTGTCCCAGAATGTCTGAACTATGGGAATCCTTGCCAGAAAAAAAAAAGTTTTTATCTGGCTTTTCTTGGGGTAAAGGTTTGAAAGTTTTTTAAAGGCCCCTTTGAGAATAGCTTCCTACTTGCTGTAATTGTGTCTCTACCCCCAAAGTAGATAGGTAAATAAACCTTGATAAAATTAATTATTAGAAGGATTTTATTACCTCTCTATACCCCAAATAAAACAAAACTGTGTTCCTTGAATTTGTACCAATTAGAACAGTTTTAGTTAATAATAAAAAATAATCCTTAATAAGAAATAATGCTGCCCCCCCCCAATACTTTAATGAAATGCATTGACCATAGAGGGAAGGTCTTAAAGGATTAACTTTCAGAGCACACGAAGGCTTGGTAGGGAACATTGGATAAATAGCTGACAGTATATGGGCACAAGAGATAGAGCCTTAGCTACCACTTATTGCCCTCACACTGTTTGGATCTACCCCTTCCAATATCCCAGCCATGATCAAAGTGCTCATTTTAAACTGTTGTCTCATTGCCCAGCTGGTGTGGCTCAGTGGTTGAATGTCAACCCACGCACCAAGAAGTTGCTTGTTTGATTCCCAGTCAGGGCACATGGCCAGGTTGTGGGCCAGATCCCCAGTGGGGGGTGTGCACGAGGTAGCCAGTCAGTGTTCTCTCTCACTGATGTTCCCTTAAAAAAAAAAAAAAAAATTAATTAATTAATTGATTTGTTATTGTTGGAAGTATTTCAGATATCCCCTTTTTATTCCCACTGACTCCCTCCTTCCTACTCCCACACCCCCTCCTGCCTTCCCCAGCCTAGTATCCATGTCAGTCTTTCTCTCTCTCTCTCTCTCCTTCTTCCTTCCTCTCTCTCTAAAATCAATAAAGAAAAAAATCTAAACTGTTGCCTCATTACCATTTATCTTCAAAACACTTCTTTCATTTTTTTTATTGGAGTATAGACTTACAATATTATATTCATTTCAGGTGTACAACATATTTGATATTTATATACATTATGCAGAGATCACCATGATAATACAGAGTTATTACAGTATTGTTGACTGTATTCTCTATGCAGTCTGTTTCTTTACTGTGACTTATTTATTTTATAACTGGAAGTTTATACCTTCTAATCCCCTTCACCTATTTTTCCCATGTTCCCATCCCCTGTCCCTCTGGCAACCACCAGTTTGTTCTGTGTATCTATAAGTCTGTTTTTGTTTTGTTTTGTTTTGTTTGTTCATTTGCTTGTTTTTTTAGATTTCATATATAAGTGAAATTATTTGTCTTTGTCTGTCTCATTTCACTTAGCGTAATACTCTCCAGGCTCATTTACATTGTTGCAAATAGCAAGATTTCATTCTTTTATATGGCCGAGTAATATTCCATTGTATATATGTACCACATCTTTATCCATTCATCTATCAGTGGACACTTAGGATGTTTCCATATCTTGGATATTGTAAATAATGCTGCAGTGAACTTAAGGGTGCATGTCTTTTTGGATTACTGTTTTCTCTAAATAAATACCCAGAAGTGGAATTGCTAGGTTGTGTGGTAGTTCCATTTTTAATTTTTTGAGGAACCTTCATGCTGTTTTACATAGTGGCTACACCAGTTTCCATTCCCTCTAACACTGTATGAGGGTTCCTTTTTCTTTACATCCTCACCAATACTTATTTTTTGCCTTTTTGATAATAGCCATTCTGACAGGTGTAAAGTGGTATCTCATGGTTTTGATTTGCATTTCCCTGCTGATTAGTGATGTTGAATATCTTTTCATGTGCCTATTGGTCATCTCTATATCTTCTTTGGAAAAATGTCTGTTCAGGTCTTCTGCCCATTTTTATTTTTATTTTATTTTTTTAGAAAGAGAGCTAGAAACATCAATATGAGAGAGAAACATTGATCAGCTGCCTTCCCAACGTGCTCCCCCCCCCCCCCCCCCCCCCCCCGGGGATCAAGGGGATTGAGCCTGAAACACAAACATGTTCCTGACCCGGAATCAAACTAGGACCTCTCAGTCCATGGGAGATGCTCAATCCACTGATCCACACTGGACGGGCTGTTCTGCCCATTTTTAAATTAGATTGTTTGTTTATTTTTTTTAAATCCTCACCTGAGGACATTTCTGCATTTATTTTCAGATAGAGCTGGAGGGAAGGGGGGAGGAGAGAGAGAGAGAAACATTGACGTGAGAGAGACACATAGACAGGCTGCTACCCACACGACCCCAGCTGGGGCTGGGGACAAACTGCAGCCGAGGTACATGCCCTTAGCGGGAACCAAACCCGGGACTCTCGTCCGCGGGCCGATGCTCTAACCGATGAGCCAAACCGGTCAGGGCTGGATTGCTTTTTTTGATATTTGGTTGTATGGGTTCTTTATATACTTTGGACGTTAACACCTTATTGGATAAACTATTTGCACATATCTTCTCCCCTTTTCGTTTTATTGATGGTTTCCTTTGCTGTGCAAAAGCTCTTTAATTTGGTGTGGTCACATTTGTTTATTTTTGCTTTTGTTGCCCTTGCCTGAGGAGACATATCCAAAAAAAATATTGCTAAGACTAATGTCAAAATAGCTTACTGCCTGTGTTTTCTTTTAGGATTTTTATGGTTCCAGGACTCCTTTCATTTTAATGACTTCCCAGGGATAGGTGCAGAACTTGAGCTATAAAGAAGGAGGCATTTTAAGTTTCAGTACTCATGTACACATATGTGCAGCTTATTAGGAATGGGTAAATGATAGATTATTAGAGATAGTACTGTACTGGGCCTCTGGGGACCTTGGTTTTAATTTTACTTTGACCAATGATAAATGGATAACGTTGCCAGACGGTGATACAGCGTTTTCCTGAAATTTTGAACTATCGGGTGTACACAGATAAGGTGATAATTATTACAATGAAGGTGATACTAATGATGAAGCATGGATCTCAAGGATCAAATTAGTGATAGGTGATACTGAACTGTTCATCACTTTTTTTTTTACCATGGTGTGATCATGGTTTGTGTTTGCCAAGTAGTTAACAAAGAAAAGTCCAGCCTGTACTTTTGCTTTATTCTAACCACGAGGGATAATGGTAATATGCTTTTCTATAAAAACATTTTATGACATTTTGGTTCTAACATTTTAAATATTAAGTGAAATTATCTTGTATAGAATGTTATTTCTTTTGTAGGTATTGTTGGTGAAGCAGATGAAAATGGAGAAGATTATTATCTTTGGACCTACAAAAAACTTGAAATAGGGTTTAATGGAAATCGAATTGTTGATGTTAATCTAACTAGTGAAGGAAAGGTGAAATTAGTTCCCAATACTAAAATCCAGATGTCATATTCAGTAAGTATTGAAATAATTGTATACAGGGAGAATTGTATGTGACCTCATATAAAAAATTAAGTGTTTTTCTCCTTAGTAAATGAAAATATAGCTTGAAATGGGATGACAAGAAATACTATTAAAACTGCATTTTTCTCAGTGTAGGTAAGTAAGCCTCTTAAAAGCAGGGAGAAGAGTTGCTTCAGGTCTGCAGTATCGGATACCAGTTATGCATTTGCAGGGTGTACCGTTTGCTACAGCAAAGTTTACCATTGTAACTGGGCAGCTAGTTAACCTAGCCATGTATTTTCATAGTTATGTTTTTAGATTGCAGTATTCCGTGTTCTTTTTTGTTTTTACTGTTTCAGATAGAGATGATGGTTTTAAAAGTATTATTGGATGGGTAGAGTTGACCATATTTGGCTCTATCAGTTGGAATAAGATACTCCTGCAGAGTAAGAGCAGAGTCCTTTATAACAGTCAAGTTAATTCTGTTCCATTGCAATTAAAACTAGTGGAAAGGAGAAATCTAATGTAGCTAGCTTCTCTCTTTGCTTGTTTTTTTTTCCCCTCTGATAACTGGAATGAGTCAATTGCTAGTAGCTGATTTTGAAAGTTTTTCAAGCTTTTGCCAATGTACCTAGTGCAAATCATATTTGCATAACTGAAATAATGAAGAAATTTGGTAATTGTAATAAAATTATTGCAATCTAAAGATAAAGAGGTACAGATTCTTATTTTAATTAGTCTAATCAATTGAGTTCTTATCATTTTTATCCAGAGTATATAAGTCAGCAATAGTTCATAATTGTTGAAAACTGAAATGATCCCTCTAAGTAAAGTTGTAAGTTTTGTTATTACACAGAGAGGAAAGTTGGTTAATTTATCATACATGTTTTAACTTCTGAAATTGGTAGTAATTTTCCACCATTTCTCTAGTTTCTTATTCTAAGTGTACAAATCTTTTCAAATTTTGCTCAGAATTTTATCAGATTATTAATTTGTTTACTGCCCATGATTTTCAAATAAAAACATCTTTTTCAGGTAAAATGGAAAAAGTCAGATGTAAAATTTGAAGATCGATTTGACAAATATCTTGATCCATCCTTTTTTCAACACAGGGTAGGTAAATTGTATATTTTAAGATATTCATTATGTGCTCTAGTCAGTTTAACAAGTATTAATGAGCATCTGCCATATGTAGGACACTGTGCTAGGGCTGTGGATTTCAAAGATTTAACTAATGAGCTCAGTGTCATAAGGGTGATGGGAGGAGGTTTGGAGGGGAAAATCAGAGAACAGTTTAGGACATGTTAGTTTTGCAGTGTGTATAAGACATCCATATAGAGGTACTGACTAGCTAGTTGAGTATATCAATCTGAAGTTCAGGAGAGAGGTCTGGGCTAAAGATACAAATTTTGCAGCCATTGGCATGCAAATAGTATTTAAAGCTCTGAGACTGGATGCAATTACCAGGGAAGAGTATGTAAAAATAGAATAGGACCAAGGACTGAGCCCTGGGAGCAGGAATAAAAGTTTGGGGAGAACAGAGGAAAGAGAAACCAGCTAAGGGCTCTGAGGAGATACCAGTAAAGTAAGGGGGAAAAGATTGTATGCTATTCCTGGAAGTCAAGAGAAGAAAGTGTAGCCCTGGCCGGTTTGGCTCAGCGGTTAGAGCGTCGGCCTGCAGTCCTGAGAGACCCGGGTTCGGTTCCCGCTAAGGGCGCGTACTTCGGTTGCAGTTTGTCCCCGGCCCTGGTCGGTTGTGCGGGTGGCAGCCACTCGATGTGTTTCTTTCACATCGATGTTTCTCTCTCTCTCTCTGTTCCTCTTCCTCCCACTCTACCTGAACAAAAAAAAAAAAAAGAGAGAGAGAAGAAAGTGTATAATGAGGGATAGAGAAATTAATTCTGAATTATTGCTGATGAGTCAAGTAAGATGGATTCTGAACATGACTATTGGATTCATCTAGAGTCTTTGGTGAACTTGACAAAGTGGTTTTGGTGTGGTGGTGGGGCAAAATTTTAACAGACGTGGTGTAAGGGAGAGGAGAGGAATTGAAGATAGCATGTTTGGCTATGAAAGGGAGCCAAGAAATGGTGCAATAGCTAGTGGAAAAGATGGAGTCAGGAGATTTTATTTTTGAGATTTAGAAAAATACTTATATGTTGAATGGGGTTCAGTCGATAGTGCAAGATGGACAATAAAGGAGAACAGGGGAGAATTATTACAGATTTTCCTTAAATAGGCAGGAGGGGATGGGATCTTTTGTGTAAGTGCATGGATTATTTCTAATACAGTGACTACAAGCACAGGCTTAGGAGCTTGAGCTGAATACAGTCTGTCTGCCACCTACTGTAACCTTTGTCAAATTACTCAGTTCTTTACCTTCTGTCTCCTTAGTTGTGAAGCAAGATTATAATACCTTGCAGAGTTGCTGTGAAATTCCATTTGGTAGTGTATATAAAGTACCTAGTTCAGCCCTGGCCAGTTTGGCTCAGCGGTTAGAGCGTCGGCCTGTGGTCTGGAGAGACCCGGGTTCGGTTCCCGCTAAGGGCATGTACCTCGGTTGCAGTTTGTCCCCGGCCCTGGTTGGTTGTGCGGGTGGCAGCCACTCGATGTGTCCCTTCACGTTGATGTTTCTCTCTCTCCTTCCTCTCTCTCCCTCCCACTCTATCTGTACAAAAAATGGAAAAATATCCTCGGGTGAGGATAAAAAACAAACAAACAAATAAAGTACCTAGTTCAGTGTTTGACACATAGCAGCTCAGGTGCTCAGTAAGAGGCAGCACTGGGAGTGCAGGTTGCTGTTCATCTCCAGTGTTCTAAAATTCATGACGAACCCGGGCTGCTGCCTTAGGTGAGCAACGCTAGAGGGTGCTGGAGTCAGCAGATTGTGAGGTTGGTAACCCCTTCGTGACATCTGATTCCTTTATTATTCTTAAGAAATATCTTCGTTGGTATAATAATTTTAAAATTACATTAATTTTTTGAACAGATGGATATTATAAAATGTCAGGTTATTAGTAGTACATTATAATAGGTATTGATTTGAGTTCAAATCTTTGATTGGAAAAGAGCAGAGTTTTCTTACAAAGTTTAGCATTATAATAAGAAAATCTTATTACTAAATTGTAACTCTGCAAAATTTTTTTCTCTTCAAAAACTTCATAAATTGACTGAAAGCAGACATGAGTCATATATAATTTTTTCTCTCTTTTTCTTTTTTGAGTCATTAGTTTCCCAAGGTGGGAAAAAATCAAATCTTGGGAAAAGCCTATAATTATAGACTGCTTTTACAAATTTTGAATGTTAGTTTTGTGATACACTTAAATTTATATAACCGTTTTTGCAAATATTTCAAAATATAATGCATTCATTGTTTTCTTTATAATATCAGTAGGTATTCAGTAAGTTGTTGAACGAAGAAAGACATATCTCATGAAGAGGCAGAGGCAATTGGCTGTCTCCTGTTTTTCAGGGAGAGCCATAGAGTTTATCACTTGCCTGAATCCTCAGGGTGGGTAACAGCCAGGACTATCTTTCACCCTAGTGCACAACTTAGCATTTTAGCCCAAGTTAAAATCTGTTCTAATTGGCCCTGGCCAGTTTGGCTCAGCGGTTAGAGCATCGGCCCGCGGACCAAAGAGTCTTGGGTTGATTCCGGTCAAGGGTTGTGTGAAAGACAATCAATTGATGTGTTTCTCTCACATCGATGTTTCTCTCTCCCTCCCTCCTTCTTTCCCTTCCACTCTATCTGGAGATAAATGGAAAAATATACTCAGGTGAATATTAAAAAAAAAAAAAAAATCTGTCCTAATTGTACAGTACATCCTTCATGTTAAAATGTTTATGTATGTACTTGTAGAAGTTTAGAGCAGCAGGAGGATATCTATGAATAACTGGAATATGTCAGTGAGAGGTGGTTTTATGGAACAGAGGGGTTTTATGTGTGTGTGTTTTGAGAGAGGAAGGGAGAGGGAGAGAGAAACATCGATGGGAGAACATCAGTTGGCCGCCCCCTGCATGCTCCTCATTGTGAATTGAGCCCACAACCTGGGCATGTTCCCTGACCAGAATCGAACCAGCAGCCTCTTGGTGCATGGGTCGACACTCAACCCCAGAGCCACACCGGCTGGGTGGAACAGAGGGCTTTTGAGTTGAGCTTTAAACAGTAGGTAGAATTTGCAGAGGTGGACAGAAGTAGATCCCATGTGAGGAGGAGTTATGAGCAGGCTACATAGGTGGAAACGAGTATGCTGTACTTGTGGGTCATTGAGGAAGAATAGGCCTGATTGGAATATAGGGTACAATGGAAAGAAAGGTTAGCTAGAGAAAGTGAGGTGGCCATATCACAAAGGGTACAGAATATTAGGGAAAACGGTTTAGATTTGATATGTGAGAAAATAGGGAATGTCACTGTAAGTTTTAGAGTAGCAATATATGAACGTGATGTTTTAGAAAGATTCTCTGGGTAACTTTTTTTTTTTTTTTTATCCTCACCCGAGGATATTTTTCCATTTTTTGTACAGATAGAGTGGGAGGGAGAGAGAGGAAGGGAGAGAGAGACAGAAACATCGACGTGAAGGGACACATCGAGTGGTTGCCACCCGCACGACCAACCAGGGCCGGGGACAAACTGCAACCGAAGTACATGCCCTTAGCGGGAACCGAACCCGGGTCTCTCCAGACCGCAGGCCGACGCTCTAACCGCTGAGCCAAACCGGCCAGGGCTCTGGGTAACTTTTTATAGGAAAGATTGAAAGGAAGGGGAGAGACCAAAAATGAAGGCCAACTAGGAGGCCATTAGAATTATCAGTGTGTGAGGTGATGACATGGGAATGGAGAGGAAGGGATAGATACAAGAAACATTTCAAAGGGAACAAAAGCCCAATAATTATTACCAAGGAAGGATTAAGGAGAAGGAAGAGCCCTGGCTGGTTTGGCTCAGCGGTTGGAGCATCGGCCTGCGGTACAGAGAGGCCCGGGTTCGGTTCCCGTTAAGGGCACGTACCTCAGTTGCAGTTTGTCCCCGGCCCTGGTTGGTCGTATGGGTGGCAGCCACTCGATGTTTCTCTTCACATTGATGTTTCTCCCTCTCTTTCTTTCTCTCTCTCCCTCCCGCTCTGTCTGAACAAAAAATGGAAAAATGTCCTCGGGTGAGGATAAAAAAAAAAAAAAAGGAGAAGGAAGAACCAGAGATAATTTCGGATTTTAAAAGCCAAATGTCAGTACCATTAGCAGAAGTTAGAAATCAGAAGGGAGTCGTTATATGTGAAAACAGAAGATTAATAGTTTACTTTAGGGCAGTCTGAAGTTCCAGAAAGACATTCAGGTGGAAATGATCATAGTTAGCATAAGTCTGAAACATGAATGGGAGGAAGAGGGCTAGAGATTTGGGGCAGGGTTGAAGCCGATGGCAGAGGGTGTTACCATCATCATCCGATGCTAGTGAAAGTTCTGAGAGCCTGGCCATTGTGGCTCAGTGGATTGAATGTCGTCCCATGGACTGGTTTGATTTCTGGTTTAACTGTCGGTCCGATTCCCAGTCGGGACACATGCCTGGGTTGTGGGCTCGATCTCTGGTGGGGGCATGCAGGAGGCAACCGATTGATGTTTCTTTCTCACATCGATGTTTCTGTCTCTCTCTCTTCCTTCCCCTCTCTCTATAAAATCTATAACAACAGATTTAAAAAAATGTTTTAAGAGCCCAAGGAAGTCTGCAGAGAACCAAGACTGAAGCTTTTGGAATAGTGCACAAGGGGTGGGAGGAGTAGGCATGGAGGATGAAAGAGGAGAAGCAGCGGTCATGAAGTAGGGTGGCAAAGTGTCAGCAAAGATCGAACATGGTCAGGAGAGCAGGGAGAGTGGGGGCAGCTAATTGACTGGAATCAGTTTAGAAGTTCATTGCAGGTTTTTGAGAGACATTTTGTGGGGCAAAGTGAGATGATATTATGTTTAGGAGTAAGTGAGGGAAGTAGAACCTGTAGTTTCCTGATTTGAAAAGTGTTGGCATTGAAAGGAGGGGGTGAGAAGAAGATTAAAAGAGTGAGTAGGCAAAAGATCAAGCAAACACTTTAAAAGATAATAGTAATAACACGTTTTAATTTTTTTTTTTTTTAGTGTTTTATTATGTCAGGTACTATGCTGTATGCTTTACATTTATTATCTTGCTTAAGCTGTATAACAACCCCAGGGAGTAGGTACTGTTTTAGGTAGGGACTTTGGAGGTTGCTGATGCTGGAGAAATGTGTAAGTTTAGGGATGCAAATTGAGGGGGAAAACACCTCAAGGAAGAGATTAGAGCCTAGTGAGAGGATTGATTTAAGAGGAGAAACAACTTCTAGGGGATTGATAGGAGGATAAATACAGAAAAATAAATAAAATTGGGAACTTGAAGAGAGAAGAGAAGTTTTGGATCGGTTCCTAAGGAATTTGGGGACTTGAAATACAAAGGCATTACTGGACAGTGCTGTAGACCTGGTGGAAGCCATGTGCACTCAGTTCTGAGAAGTACTCAGAGACACAGTAGTAGTACCTTGTGACCAAGTGAGCCAGAATCTTGACATAATTTTGTGACAAACACGTATGTGAAATCAAAGTCAAGAGCCTTGGGAACATTACGAAATTATGGGTTACCTCACTGTTCTCTGCACCATGGGGAGTTAATTTGGAAAGGAGTGAATAATGATGGCAGCAGAATGGAGAGGGCGAAGTGGAAGTGAAGCAGGTGATTCAGGAAGGTGGCTGCCAACTATGATGGTTTAGTCTTGGTGCTCTAAAGAGAGTTTCAGGTTGTTGCTCAGTTAGAGGGAAGGGAACTAACATTATTCACTGCTCTGTGCCAGACACGGTGCCAAACTTATTATATGTTATTAAACCATACAAATCACGAGATAGTATTATTTCCTTCATTTATAGGGAAATTGGGGTTACAAATATAGCTATTGGCAGAGCCTGGGCTACCCAGGACTGTTTGATTTTAAAACTCCATGTTCCTTCTCTGTAATGCTAAATAGTCTATGTTATGCTAGCCAGATTGTACTTTATTTGTATAATAAATTTGTGAAAATCTCTATAAACAGTATCATGTTTTTAGTGCATCTGAAGCTTACTGTAAAGAATGCCAATTCCTTTGTATAGTGAATACTCATCCTCATTGTATCGAAGGTCATCATGGAACCTGTGAATTTTGTGACTGATATTTTATGTAAGTAATATTTTATTTTCTGTTATTTTTAGATTCATTGGTTTTCAATTTTCAACTCCTTCATGATGGTTATCTTCCTGGTGGGCTTAGTTTCAATGATTTTAATGAGAACTTTAAGAAAAGATTATGCTCGGTACAGTAAAGAAGAAGAAATGGATGACATGGTGAGCAGACATTTTATATTGTACTTATAAAAGCAGATTAACTCAGCATTATTTGGGATGTTGGAATGTAGGTCCACAATCCTGAGGTCAGATGAGTTTCAGAATTCAAAATTTTTAGGTTTTAGAAAGGTCTAAACTCTTGGAGGGGTCTCTAATACCATCTTAATTTTTTTCCATCAAAACATAGGAATGTTCGCTCCAAGTGGGATAAACAGTATAAATAACCTGTTTTTACTTCAGTCCAAGTTTTGCCACAAAATAAAGATATATCAAACTTCTGAAACAAACTTTCAGTTTTCAGAGCTTTTTATTTCAAAATTATAGTTAGGAGGTTGTAGACCTGTGTTGGCATCTTTCTAATACTATTAAATATTGCATAAAATTCAGAGAGTGGACAGAAGGATTGATTCACATTTAGTTTAATAGCTGGGGGAGGGCCTTGTTTTCTAAATTCTTTAAAATATAAACAAATGTAAGTGAGAAAAACTATTATGTAGAATGTTAATGGCTATTCTATGTAGATATACTCCATCATTAAGTATGTTCGGAAACAAACAGATTTAAATTTTAATATGCTAATTAATATCAGAGGGTAAATAAAATATTTGGTGCTTCTCAAACATATCTGACCAGGATCTCCCCCTAAAAATCAGATTATTCAGAATAGTATTTAAAAATACTATTATTTAACTATCTGATATTTTCCCCATGTATGTTTTCTTAGATTCCAGGCTATAAAGGACATTTCTAAATTGTTAGGGCATCTCATACTGATTTGATACTCTTCTTTTCCACCTGGCCCCTGGTCATATATGAGCCACAGTCACGATGTAAATGGCAAGAGCAGTGTCTGAAAGTAATGTTAAGAGAGTCGATGTGCTAGTCTCCTAATTTGACCATTTCTTTTTGCTCATAGACCATTTTCTTTTTTCATTCTTTGAGATTTTTCTGAGCACAACCAGCAATCACATTCCTGGGCCTCAGTACAAGTTATTAAGGCAGTGATTATTTTAAATTTGAAATTTATTTTCTTGATATTTGAACCCTTTTAAATAGCTATAAGTTTGGAGCGAGGAAACTTATAATTATCAGTATAATTTTTCACCTATTTTCTGTATTTTAATTTCATTCTGAATGATTTTCTTTTCTGTCTACATATTTATGCATATAGGATAGAGACCTGGGAGATGAGTATGGATGGAAGCAGGTGCATGGAGATGTATTTAGACCATCAAGTCACCCACTGATATTTTCCTCTCTCATTGGTTCTGGATGTCAGATATTTGCTGTGTCTTTCATTGTTATTATTGTTGCAATGATAGAAGATTTATATACAGAGTAAGTGCTTGTACTTTATTACTTTTTTGTTCTTTAATCATTGGAACCTTTAAAGTCAATCATAATTAATTACTTGCTTATTTCAAGTCTTAGAATTTAAATAGCATAAATGTCATTATTGCAGACAAATTAAATAATGAACAGTAATCTTCAGGTGTAAATATATGTTTCTGTTACATGCTAAAACTTGCTAGTCTTACTGAACATTTTGGTTGGTAATAAAAGTTATGTCCCATTAGAAGTATGAGCAGAGTTACTTTGTAGTCCAGAACTGTTTGACAAAATGTATAGGCATTTAAAAATTTTTTTTTTTTTTTTATCCTCACCCGAGGACATTTTTCCATTTTTTTGTACAGATAGAGTGGGAGGGAGAGAGAGGAAGAGAGAGAGAGGGAAACATTGATGTGGAAGGGACACATCGAGTGGCTGCCACCCGCATGACCAACCAGGGCTGGGGACAAACTGCAACCGAGGTACATGCCCGTAGCGGGAACCGAACCCGCTACGGACCGCAGGCGGACGCTCTAACCGCTGAGCCAAACCGGCCAGGGCTAAAAAATTTTTTTAATTAATTATTTTTTGTTATAGATGTCCCCTTCCCCCAGCAGACACCCTCCTTCCTATCCCACCCCTCCCCACAAAGCATTGTTGTCAATGCCCATTGGTTCCACATACATGCATATAAGTTCTTTGGTTTATCTCATTCCCCCCCACCCGCCACTCCCCTCCTCTGAGTGTTGTCAATCTGAACCATACACCTTTCTATGTCTCTGAGTTAGACATTTTTTTTTTTGAAAGCCAAAGATCCAATTAGTTCTTCATAAGAACCACAGGCTTTCAGTTACTGAATGAGTTCTTCACATTTGCCTCCAAAACTGGGAGACTGTCTATAAATCAGAAGAAAACATTGTAAGTAATAGTAAAAAGTGTGTTGGAGAAGGTACATGAGGTTAGGAAAATGATTGGTTAACTTCTTATCCTATTCTTATATGGTTTCTGGTACATTTTTCCTTTGTGGACAAAAGCAGTTGCAAGAAATTCTTGATTTGAGGTTTTTGGATTATAAGAAAAAGTATATTTACAAGGATCTCAGGTCGCTATTTAGTGGTCCTATAACCTTGTGCTCAGAGAGCTACGACCTCAATGAAGCAAACATACCCTGAGCCAGGGTGGCAGACACTTCGCATGCTGCCCTTTGAAGTCTCCAATCAGAATGAACTTGTCTTTGGTTATATTTTATATCTCTATTTCAGTTCATAATGCATTACTTCTTATATATGCCTGGCATTTGGTGTACAAACAATAACTTGTTGCTGGAAGAATGGTTTTTTAGTTGTATATTAAATATTTAATTGTACTTAATTGCTTTACAGTAAGCTCTTTGAAAGCAAGGACTAGTTTTAACTTTGAATTCTCAAAGTACTTAAAGAAATGTGCATGTGGAAGGTACTCAGTCAGTGCTTATTGAACTAAAGTGAATGTGTATTAATCAACAAAGCTATTTTTCTGGAATAGTTTCTGTTTCATTTATTTAATGTAACCTTTGTAGTTTATTTACCATATAAGCTTTAAAATAATTGACCAAAACCTAAACTTCAGTGTTCTTGTTAGTTCATATTTTAGAATATAATATATGTCAGATGAATACAAGAAAAGCATTTCGAATCTACCATGAAGTCATGCTTTACATTAAATACTGACTGAAATTAATCACTACTGAATTAACACTGATGATACAGTCACAGTCTTAGGAGCTACTAGTGGGTAATTTCTCCTAGAAACCAAGTTTTTGCTCTTTTTCTTCTCAAATGTTAGTGTTACAATCTTGGCAATTCATTTTTTAATACAGCAACTCTTCTGATTATAGAGAAATAAGAAACTGTTTCTAACAGATGGTATTAGCAGATAAGACATGCATCATTATTTTAGTCTGTTATTACTATTGATGATTGTTCTATGTTGTGCTTATTTGAAGTGAACATATTCAGTTACTTATATGATCAATATTAAAGCTATGAGTATTATGTTATCACAGTGACTACTATTATTGAGGTTCCATGCTAGGTGCTTTTTGCTGATTAGCTCCTTTGATCCTCACATCAGCCCAGTGAAGAGACTGTTGTTATCTTTATTCTACAAATGAGAAAAGTAGATATCATTCAAGTTAAATAATTTGACTGAGATCACATGGCTCTTTGTAAGGGGTATTAATAAGCTGGGATTTGACCCTTGCTGCTATTACTCCGGAATTTGTTTCTTAATTTGCTATGCTGTGGAAATGAAAGTAGAGATAATAAAAATACCAAGTGGTGAGAATATGAAAAACTTGCACGTAAAATTTGTAAGAATTACTCCGGAGTAGTTTTGATTCTAAAGGAAAAAAAGCAGATTATGTAATATGTGAAAATTACTTTGCCTCAGTGATGGCTATAGCAATCAGAGAAAAAAATATTTAGGTAGGTAGAGATCACTATCAGTGTGAGGTCAAATAGTGTGATATTAACTCTAGAGAAGGCTTAGTATTTGAGAAAGTATGGGTAAGTCTGGTAAAATTCCACAACTGCCACTACTTGAAAGTTTCGATGGAGTAAGGAGGTGGCCAGTGTAGGTAAAGCAATCTCCTTAGATGTTTCTCCTTTTAGTCTTAGAGAGATGAACAAAGAGGACAGTTTCCTACCTCAGCAGATTTTTCAGTGTAGATGAAAATGATCTGTCTTGGCTAGGAAATGCCCATAGATGTTTATGAATGAAGAGGTTAAGGGTATACCTGACTTTTCTGGTCTGTGGGCCAACGCTCTAACCTCTGAGCCAAACTGACCAAGGCACGTCTGACTTTTGAAACTGACAGATTATGACTGATACACTTCCATTTAGTGAAAGTGTCTCTGGGGACTGCAAGCCTAAATTCCTGGTAGTCATTTTGGACTCTCAGTCACATAAGCAGCTTTTGTCAGCCCTCTCTGCTAATATTAAGACTTCTGGCTTGTATTAGACTGTTCTTACACTAAAGCAGCCTTTCAGTTTTCAGTATTGTTAGTCCTATGTCAGCCTCACACACCCAGTTATAAACAGTAAATGGGTTGAAATTGTTAATGATAGTCTGGAAGGAATAAGTGAATACTTGCATTGTTTAATTGGGTTCTTGAAAACTGACTTTGAGACCTGTGATCTTTTAAACATTGGAATGACACGTTATTATTTGCTACCACATTTATATTTAGCTGTGTATTGGTGGAAATTCAGTATTGCAATGCTATAACTGTTATACATCTACTTTAAGAAATTGATCATAGGTGTTTGGGCAGATGAGTGTTACATATTTCAAGTCTGTATGATGTCTGTATTCTACACAGGTGGACAGTGGAATATAATAATAATTATTATTACCCAGAAGGTGGTTAATTTTTTTTTTTTTTATCCTCACCCGAGGACATTTTTCCATTTTTTAAAATTCAGATAGAACGTGAGGGAGAAAGAGGAAGAGAGAGAGGGAGAAACATTGACGTGAAAGGGACACATCGAGTGGCTGCCACCCGCAGGACCCAACCAGGGCCGGGGACAAACTACAACCGAAGTGCATGCCCTTAGCGGGAACCGAACCAGGGTCTCTCTGGACCATAGGCTGACGCTCTAACCGCTGAGCCAAACTGGCCAGGGCAGAAGGTGGTTAATTTATAGAAATTGTATATCCTTCCAGTGCACACATTAGTGTGATGTTCTTGTAAATTCTCTTTACGCGAGTATTCTTTAGCTTAAACAAACAAGGTTACATGTCCTATCTATAGCTAGAACTTCTAATATTTTCTATATATTGAACATATTTTACCTTCCTAGTTATGGTGAGTTTCAGAAATGGGCTTTATTGTTAGTGGGTTAAGTACATTTCTATATTATGACAAATGATACTGTCATTTATCATTTTAATACTTTTCTTTGCAATTAGGCATTTAAAAATTTGTGTCTAGTTTTACTCAGGAGGGTTAGTTTGAATATCCTAGGTATCATTATTGCAACAATTGTTGATCTAAATTAATGTTGGTTGTGGAGCAATGGAGTTTTTTTTTTATTCCTCACCCGAGGACATTTTTGCATTTGTCTTCAGATAGAGTGGGAGGGAGAGAGGGAGGAAGAGAGAGAGAAACATGAGAGAGACACATCGAGTGGTTGCCACCCACACAACCCCAACCAGGGCCAGGGACAAACTGCAACCAAGGTACGTGCCCTTAGCGGGAACCGAACCCAGGTCTCTCTGGTCCTCGGGCCGGGCCGACGCTCTAACCGCTGAGCCAAACCGTCCAGGACCCAGTGGATTTTTATAAAACCATTTTTAACAGTATAAGGAAACTAATTAACAAAAGTCTCAGTGTTACATCATTTAAAGTAATAGCACTAATATAATAGATTATACTGCTTATGTTATATTTTTATCAGCATGCAAGAATATTAAGCAGTTAAATTAAATTATAAAGAGGACTATTTTAATTATTTTTCTTAACAGATGAATATCCTTTTCCATATGATGTGATTGGTTCACAGGGTTGCAAAATAATTTTAGTGCCAGCTTCTAATATTTTTGCCAAAAAAATGCAGTATGCAGGGTGGGCAAAAAGAGGTTTACAGTTGTAAATATGTGAAACACAGTTTATCCTTGTATTATTATGTATTAATTATTGTATTATTTTCCACACGGACAACTGTAAACCTGCTTTTGCCTCACCATGTACTTCTTCAGGATATATTACGAAATTTAACTGCAGATTTAAAAAAATGAGGATCAGCTCTTATCATATAAATGCAATTTTAACTGGAAATTTATTCACTAGGCAACCTTTAAGGTCCTTTGCAGTCCAGGATGATATTTTTAAATTTTTTTTTTTTTTTTATCCTCACCCGAGGACATTTTTCCATTTTTTGCACAGATAGAGTGGGAGGGAGAGAGAGAGAGAAACATCGACGTGATAGAGACCCATCGAGTGGCGGCCACCCGCACGACCAACCAGGGCAGGGGACAAACTGTAACTGAGGTACGTGCCCTTAGCGGGAACCGAACCCGGGTCTCTCTGGACCGCAGGGCGACGCTCTAACCGCTGAGCCAAACCGGCCAGGGCAGTCCACGATGATATTGATGGATTTTTTATTTGACTGATTTTATTATTTTTATTAATAATTTTTTTATTGATTGATTTTGAGAGAGAGAGAGCGCGAGAGAGAAACAACGATTTGGTCCTTCACCCATTTATGCATTCATTTGTTGATTCTTATATGTACCCTGTCCGGGAATCTAACCTGCAACCTTGGTGTATTGGGACGTCACTGTAACCAACTGAGCTACCTAGCCTGGGCCCTGGATGACATTTTTGTGTTCCTGTTAAGTTTATCTTTGAAGTTAAACTAATGTTAATGTGATAGGCTATATAATGTGTTCTTTAAGTTTTTGGTTTTAATTTATCTTATATGTCTTTTCGCCTTTTTAGGAGGGGATCAATGCTCAGTACAGCCATATTTGTCTATGCTGCTACATCTCCAGTGAATGGTTATTTTGGAGGAAGTCTGTATGCTAGGCAAGGAGGTAACTTATGAGTTATCACTTTGTGTTTATAATTGTAGATGCTAATATTTTACAGTGAGGTATTTGTAATTTAAAGTGGGCAATACAGGCATTGTGAAATCTTTTGCTATCCCATTTCACATATCACCACCAAACCTATTATATATTCTATCTTGCTTTTATGGAACCCCCTTGCATTTTATTTTCTAAAATTGTGAACAATTAATAGATTATATGCATTGTCCACTAAGCATTTAGGCCTGAGGAATATGTAGGAAAGCGTATATTTAAGTTATTGATATTATTTTACTTTGAGGTGCCTAGTTCCCTACATGTGCTCCATGGGAGGCCTCCAGGTAGAGCGTGTAGCTTTATGGTTGAATATAAAGGCATGCTTTATGGTTTATGGATAAAGTGTCTGGACAATGGAAGGAGAATAAGAAGGAGAGCTCTTTATTTCTATTGACCCTTAAATATTTATCAAAGGACCCTGCACAAAGATTTCTGTTATTCTGTGTCACAGTCTTTTACTAAGAGCACTTTATCTTAAATACTCCCTTGCTTCTTTATTATTGTGACCTGGAGTGATGTGGGGGATACATGGATGATACAGGGGTACTTGTTTCTTGCTGTTTTTTTTCTGTTACGGCATTTAAGGTTTCATAAATTCTTTGTTTTCCCTCTAATTGTCTGGGGTCAGAAAAGTGCTGAAGGTAGAAGATATGCATATTTCAGGTTATGAATGAAGGGTTGTTAAAAGACCTTAAAATCTTATTCCTAAGGATAAGACTTCCTAATGTGATTTTCCCAGCTCATCCTAAGCAACATCAGCATTAAGGGATCTGGTCTTCTTTTTTTAATCCTCACTTGAGGATGTTTTCCCATTGATTTTCAGATAGTGGGAGTGGGGAGAGAGAGAGCCCGCACAAGCGCAAGAGAGAAACATCAATGTGAGAGAGATATCTTGATTGGTTGCCTCCTGCATGACCCCTACCAGGGCCGGGGACCAAACCGAAACCAAGATACATGCTGTGCCCTTGACCCCAATCGAACCCATGACTCTAGTCCATGAGCGAACGCTCTAACCGCTGAGCCAAACTGGCCAGGGAGATCCTTTTTTAGTAGACCAGACTTACAGGTTATAGGAGCTCAGAGCATAGGATCATTTAAAATTCCTATAGGATATCTTGATTTACTCTTTCTTTTTTTTTTTTTATTCTACTAGACTTACTGTCTTCTATACCTTCAGTATAGGTAATTCTTTGGATTGTCTGAGGAAGTGTCATCATGAATTCCTGAGTTATTTTATTTTATTGATTGATTGATTGATTGATATGTGCCCCTAGCGGGAACCAAACCCAAGACTCGTCCACAGACTGAGGCTCCAACTGCTGACCCAAACAGGCCAGGGCCATGTCCTGATATTTTGTCTGAACTATCCCTAAAACCAAGTTAATGTAGAGGTCAGCTCAGAGAATCAAGAATTTTCAGAGTTATCTCAGGATTTGAACTATAATGAAGCTCAGGTTCTTCACACTGTCCTCAGTGCAGGAGATAACGCTCCAGACCCAATTGGAAGCCAAGGGTGGCCTGGAACTTGAGCAGAGTCTCTAAGGGTGTAGGGAGTAGTGGGAAGCAGTATAGTGCAGGTTCCTGGGCTACTGATTGTACCCGGTGGAATGTAGATATGATTCTTTTTTTATTGTTAGAGGGGGAGAGAGAGATAAAGTGGAATATGGAAATTATTAATGCTTGCCTGAATCTGAGAAGATAATGGAAAATGCAGGAAAAGAGAGTGCTAGGGAAAACTAGAATTAAATAGGAGAAATAATACATAACATTAATTAGTTGCTACCCTTTAGGTGTAGTTGTTCAAAAGGAGGGGTTCTTGAAACCTATCTGAGAAAGAAATGAAATAAAGGAGAAAGTTCAGAATCAAAGAGCCTTTCTGGAGAAATGTCGAGATTTGGGATAGTAACTCTGTGAGACATATTTTAAAAGCTTTATATAGGAAAAACAAAAGTTAGGTTATCGCTTGTTTTTCCTATAGCATTTTCTGTTTGGGTTCCTATTGCTTATGGTTGTGGGCTGAGTTTTAATAGCGACCCAGTGTTAAATCTTCCCGATGCGTTCCTAAGCATCCTGAGGATTCCGTGGCAGTGCACTTGTGTGCACTCTGCTGGCTTAGCAAGGTAGCTGCTGACACTTTCTTGGTCACTGAACATAATTTAAATTTTTGAATACTTAGTTTAAAAATGCCTTCCCTTCATTATTTAAATAATAGGTGCTCACCAGATCAAATTTTGCAATACAAAGAGGTGCAAAGAAATAAAACTTATACATCTGTAGTTCTAATTGCTGAGAGAGCTCATGAAACACATTCCATTGTTTTTCCTTTTAAAACATCGAAACAGCCCTGGCCAGTTTAGCTCAGCAGTTAGAGTGTCGGCCTGCGGTCCAGAGAGACCTGGGTTTGGTTCCCGCTAAGGGCAGGTACCTCGATTGCAGTTTGTCCCCGGTCCTGGTTGGTCGTGCGGGTGGCAGCCACTCGATGTGTCCCTTTCCTGGTTTCTCTCTCTCTCTCTTTCCCTCCCACTCTATCTGAACAAAAAATGGAAAAAAAAGAGAAAACATTGACATAAATGTGAATATATTTATAGTTATAATTAGAAAGCTAAGAGTAAATTTAGGGACCATTTAACCTAGAGGTTTTTTTAGCATTTTTTTTTTTTTAATGCAGTATAACCCTCTTTTCCAATGAAGCTTCTATAATACCCCAGTTTGTAAAACTGTTGAAAATGGACTTATTCTGGTTGAAGCAGGGCCTGGGGACCTGGGCTCTTTCTTCACCAGTGACTTCATGGGCACCTCCAAGAATCTTCTGAACACCAGACAGCAGTTTGCAAACACCGTTCTAGGCCAGCGTATAGCCCAGAAGGATTGAGTGGCTTGCCAAAGCTCATAGTAGTTCAGTGGCAGAATCAGGGTAAAACATCAGAATATTTTACTACAGTTCATTGCTCTTTTCAAGTATAAACTTTAAAAACTATGATTCCATTAGACAGGAATAACTGGACTGGTCTTTACTAGCTATCACTTTGAAATAGTTATTAGGTTGTTAATTTACAAGTTTATTACATTAAAATTTTAAATAATTTGGAACTAAATAATTAGTTTTTAAACATTAATATATGCCTGCCTGTCTACTCTCTGATATTTATAGTTTTCCTTCTCTTCCAGGAAGGAGATGGATAAAGCAGATGTTCATTGGGGCATTTCTTATTCCAGCTATGGTGTGTGGCACTGCCTTCTTCATCAATTTTATAGCCATTTATTACCATGCTTCCAGAGCCATTCCTTTTGGAACAATGGTAAGTTGCTTGAGTCATACTTTTAAAGTGAAAAAGTATAAACATTCTACTACGAGGTCTATTATCTCTCAAAAGTACTTACTGAGTTTTTTTTTTTTTTTTTTATCCTTACCCGAGGACATTTTTCCATTTTTTTTTGTACAGATAGAGTGGGAGGGAGAGAGAAAGAGAGAGAAACAGCGACGTGAAAGAGACACATCGAGTGGCTGCCACCCGCACAACCAACCAGGGCCGGGGACAAACTGCAACCGAGGTACATGCCCTTAGCGGGAACCGAACCCGGGTCTCTCCAGACCACAGGCTGATGCTCTAACCGCTGAGCCAAACCGGCCAGGGCCTTACTGAGTTTTGATAGTTACAGCCAGTCCTAGAAAGTTAGGTAAAGAAGAAAGTTCTTGTTAGTCTCCACATAATTCTTGTTAAGTTTAAACCTACAGTGGCCCCTTTTTTTTCTTGATTCTGTGAGCCAGTAAAGTGAAAGTTTGTCTCCCTGGCCAGGGGCTTAAATTGGTTGGAGTGCCATTCCATACACCAAAAGGTTGGGGTTCAATTCCTGGCCAGGGCACATACATAGGTTTCAGGTGTACGAGATCCCCCTCCCCACCTAAAATCAATAAAAACATATCCTTGGTTGAGGATTTTAAAAAGTTAAAGTCCATCGCTTAAGTATGACAGAAGAGAACACTATAATTTTTTTAAAGAGATGGGTGAAACTGGTTAATATATTTCAGAGAAAGAATAATGGCACATCAAAAAACCTGGAATTTTAAAAAATATGTTTTTATTGATTTTTTTTTAGAGAGAGAGAAACATTAATGTGAGAGAGATACATCCACCGGCTGCCTCTTGCACAGCCCCCTACTGGGGATGGAGCCTGCAACCCAGGCATGTGCCCTGACGGGGCATCAAACCGGGCCCTCCAGTCCGTGGGACGACGCTCAGTTCACTGAGCCACAGCAGCTGGGCAGCCTGGAATTTTAATGTGATAGGTGAGTGTAGTGGTAGGAAGTGAAGCTTCTCCTAACACTTGTTTTTTTTCAGGAATAGTGTACTATTTTTAGAACCTCATTAAGCATTTATATTAGTATTGGTAATATATGTTGCTATAGATACTAAAATCTTTTCACATATCTTACCTGTAGTCACAGACTTTGAAATTTTTTGAATTATTTAAATACATTAAAATTAAAGTACAGATATACTGGTGCTTTACAGAGTTAATCCATGGTCTCCAAATTCTTCCTGTTGTCACCTTTTTAATAGAAACAGAATTTTAGGCCTTGATAAACATTTGTGCACTCATGTACACACACATATACAAATTGCAGGATGGGTTGCTGCTTCTCAGATAGGCTAAATAACTTGGTCAAGGTCATACACATAGTGGTAGAAGTGCAACTGGAACCTATATCTCTCTCTCTAAATTTTAATTTTGTTTTAGTTTTCTTTCTCGTATATGGGAGTTTTTGAATAGTTTCGCTGAAATTCCAGATGATTTTGATTGTTTTATAGTCCAGGACAGGTTTTTCAAAGACATTTGCATATATATATACATATATATATATGTATATATATATATATATGTGTATATGTATGTATATGTATATATTTATTATGTCTTTACTTTTTAGTTAGGAATATTTTTGAAAATTGCTTCAAAATTGCAAAAAAAATTTTTTTTGCAAGAGAATAAGTAGAAAAGGTTAAAGTAATTACTGATATTCAGAACTGGAAAAGAATTTGCTTCATAGTAGTTCTAGGCCATCAGAAGGTACACATAGGGAGTCAGGTTACTTCTCTAAAGATGATCTGCGAAATCATTTCTTAGCGCTTTAAAAAATAAAATTCTTATTCAGTTATAATTTTCCTTATAAAATTTTGAATTTGATGTGGTGAAAATTATACTTAAAAATTTTTTTGTTTCACTAAAGTTACAAATTTTACCACTTTGCAAATGGGGTTTTAAATTGTAATAGTCAGTATAACTTGCCTTTAGATCATTTAATAATTACCAATTATCAAAATACAATGCCCAACTATGCTGAGCTAGAGAAGGTTTATAAAATTGATCTTTAGTGTGTAAAAAGACTGGCTGTTGATCTGTAGCAGGCTCCTACAATATAATGTTCTTAATTTGCATTCTAATTTGGAATGAAGGAATGCTGAACTAAGGGCATTCCACTGGCCTCAAGTTTGAAAATACCCTCGTTTGAAAATCAGTGTCTTCACATTCTTCCATATGCTCTTACCCAGGCCTTAACTCTTTCTGTCCCCCATTGCTTTGAGCTCTTGGATATTGAGCCCTGTCTCTGAGTGATCTTGGTGCTAGTTCTTTGTTTTCCAGAAGATTCCACAATTGAGGATTTAAGCCAACCTTAGTAAAAGTGACTTCAGGCTTCTGCCTCACTTAAGGAGGCACCAGAACAGTAGGGATTTTGCCCACTTGGGATCTGGAGTTTTGTGAGAATACTGCTGTTATCACTAGGACTAGCCTGAGGTAAGACTGGAAGTGGGCAAAGTTTGTCTTTGGACCCCTAGCTTTTCTGCTGATGTGTCCTAGTTACATGTGAAAGCTGTTCAATTAAACTTGTTGAACAATAGTCAATTTTAGCAGCTTAATAAAGATGAAAGAAACATAGGTAGAATGTGGTTGTGCTAATCTGAGGTAATATCTAGTGTCCCAGGTTTAAGGGATAGTGCCTCGAGTCAAGAGAGTATTACAAAAAGACGTAAGAGAGCATTTACATGAAATTTGAGGCCAAAGACTATCCAAAAATGGATATACCCGTTAATCCCAAAGTTGGAGTGTTCTGGCAGAGGTTCAGCAGAGAATGGGAGGGAGTGTACTTGAAATTAGATTGACTCTGGGAAGGTAAAACCTTTTTCTTTTGGGGATTTGTTCAAGAATGATTTAGGTATTGTACCCAGAGCTTTTGGTCCTGTGAGAGTTTCTTGAGAATGAGGAAGGGTTTGCTAAGATGTTTTGAAAAACCGTTTTAGGTCCTGGCCGGTTTGGCTCTGCGGTTGGAGCGTCAGCCTGCGGGCCAGGGAGTCCCGGGTTCAGTTCCCGCTAGGCCCTAGCGGCTAGGGGCACGTACCAAAAACAAAAACAAAAACAAAAACCAATTTAGGTCTGAAGTCTTTTGTGTGCTGTAAATTTCAGACCATAAATTTGATGTTATTGTAGGCTTTCAAGGGACAAAGAACCAAATTGCAGAGTTTTAAAACTCACAGAAGCAAAGTAGCATAAGAACAAATATTCTTTCTGCTCTAAATATTTAGTTCAGCATGCACGAATAGATCTTTGACTTAGACTTATGGTTTTGTCTCTCAGTGGGTAGAATAGTTGATGGAGAAGTAACAGGGGTCATGGTCATAGGTGAGACATGTTATATTTGTCATGTTAAGGTCTGTTTTACCTTGGGAGGGGAATCTTGAACATCACCAGAAATGTGTCCTTGGATTAGGAAAGCAGATTTCACAAATATTTAAGGAAATGCTCTCTTATGACCTAAGTTTTGGGCTATAACAATGTGGAATTACCAGAATGAGGACAAAATGGAGACCAGGATTAATGGATAGGCACTATTTTGTGATTGTAAAGGTGGTGAGAAGAGTATGCTATATTCAAGTATAAAAGAATAATAAAGATCTGTAACAATAGTGTTAGGAGCCCTGGCCAGTGTGGTTCAGTGGTAGGGCATCGGCCTATGCACTGAAAGGTCTTGGGTTCGATTCCCGGTCCAAGGCACAGACCTGCATTACAGGTTCCATCCCTGGCCCAGGTTGGGACGCATGTGGGAAGCAACTGGTTGATGTGTCATCACTGTTTCTTTTTCTCTCCCCCTCCCTCCCACCCTCCCTTCCACTCTCTTAAAAAAAACTAGTAATAATAAATGGAAAAAATATCCTTGGGTAAGGATTAACAAACAAACAAAAGCAGTGTTAGGAAAAAATCCATTACTTACAGACAAACAAAAGCAGTATTAGGAAAAACTCCATTACCTATCCTGAACCTTTGACAAATGCTAAGGCAAAAAAAAAAAAAAAAAAAGGGATTTTGTAAGATATTTTCATAGCAAGATCAAAAACTCATTGCATCAGTGGTGTCAGAGTAAAAGAAGAATGGCTCTATCCCATTCTTCCTCTTTTTTTTTTTTTCAACAAATAAAATAACCTTCAAACAAGAAGAGATGAGAGGAAAATAATCCCTAATAAGAGGGAAGTAAAGCCTAAGGTAGGTAAGGGGATTGATTGTACAGGAATACCCAGCCACCTTAGCTGAAAGTGTTGTTGCTCGTATAAGTGATCTAGAAATACTGAGAGTGCAGATAAGAAATACCCGAATAACTGTAAGAGCAGAAGTGCTGTGCAACTGGACATAGGCAAATTTGCTTTTCCAGAAGGAAGGAAGGAAGTGGATTCTGTCTTACAAAATGTGAATTGGATGTTGATGAAGTACAAGATTTTAGAATGTGTTACTAAATGTATTTTTTTTTTTATCATCCTAACCTGAGGACCTTTTTCCATTTTTTGTTCAGGTAGAGTGGGAGGGAGAGAGAGGAACAAAGAAAGAGAGAAACATCAATGTGAAAGGGACACATCGAGTGGTCGCCACCCTCACAACCAACCAGGGCCGGGGACAAACTGCAACCAAGGTACATGCCCTTAGCGGGAACTGAACCCGGGTCTCTCCCGACCGCAGGCCGATGCTCTAACCGCTGAGCCAAACTGGCCAGGGCACTAAATGTATTTTTTAATCTCAGGAATTAATAAATGGATTTGTTGAAGTAAAAAATACTAGAACAACTTAATTTTCCCTTTTGGTAGGTTTTAGTAGCCTGGAAGAACAAAGGAGTATAAATAAAGTATTATATCTTGGACAAGATGGAGAAATGTTAGAATAGTACAATCAGATGGACATGTTGCTAAATAATTATAGAATGAAAATACTGGGATAAAATTACCCATAATATTTCACATACTATCTTTGAGTAGAA